TATATATATAGATAAATATCTAGTTTTCATGGTTTTATTATTAATCAATTATCAATCAAGTACTTTAATAATAAAGGATAAATTTCATCATCTAAATACTTTCTTTCATTTGTTTTATTATATTTTATAACATGAATACATATTATGTACAGTATTGTCAGTACTTATACGTACCTACCTGTAGTGATACAGTACCCTTTTTGTGAAATTACTTAAATCAACAATAACATGACAAGTAGTTAGACTAATTTTAAATATGTCCTTCAATTTTGAATATTAAAAACAAAATGAAACAGAGAACATAAACGCGAATAAATAATTTTGACATGTCTGTCAAGCATCATTTGATGATTCAAAAGCAAATAAAATATCTATCCATGAACAATATGAACATAACGACCATGATGAAAAAATTTAACTGAATAAGGATGTTTTAAATTTTAATATACAGTCTGATGATTTGGATGACATTAATTTGAGTTCAAAGCAACCTAAATTTCAAATAGATAAAAAATACTTAAATAATAAATTAATTGTAATTAGAATAAAACAAGAAATAACTCTATTCTTGATTAATAATATAATATATTAAATAGTTTTAATATATTGTGTTACATTATATTTTAATCAATATTTTTATACTTTTATATTAATATTAATATTTTTTTCGTGTTCAAATCTGATAATACGCGCGCGAATTCGAATTATTGTCTTATTTCTTGTCACTGTTCTTACTAGAACAATAATGCTTTAACTTTTTCTAGCACAGGGGTTTGAATAATTGATATACCTTGGCTGAACAAGTACCAATGTTTTTAGAAAAAATATAATCCAAGAATCAAAAACCCTTTCTATATATATAATTTCATTAAAGAAATAGATATAAATAAATAAGATTGTATATACAATATTTAAGTAAATATTCAATGTATACATAATTATCATTTGATATGAATTTATTTATAAATATATTATAAATTTTACGTTGGTTACGTCGGCTAGAAAAAAAAAACTTTAATTATTATTATAATACGGGAAATTTATTTTTCTAAGGCTGGCCCAACCGATCTCCCGAAATTCGATTTTGGTGATAACTCGTTGTTATCAAAATCGGGAGAACTATACCTACTGTCTTAAAAGATATATATCGTCTAAGACCGTGACTGTACCAGTTCCGTTCACAAGTTGCTATCGTTATCAATTATCAATCTGATAATATGTTAAAAATGATAACTCAAACAAAACACCATTCTTTTCCGAAGTAATAGTATTAGTGTGTTTATATTTTATTATGTTTTCGAAAAATTTTTAAGTTGTATTTGTTGTTTTTTTATTAATTTTTTTATATTGTTTTGCTATTATTTAGTGATGTTTATCTAACACTTGGCTTGTGTGTCTGGTTAATGTTTGTTTAGGATGAAAGAAAAAATGCCTCCATTCAAACGTAAGAAATCGACGGTAAAAAATTTTCCTGTCAAAGCGTGCACATTAGATGCCGAATTAGAATTTAACCTAGAGGTATAATACAAACTTACATTTTTATAATGTTTAATAAAATTCAATTTTTTATGTGAATAAATATGTTTAGTTGAAGGCAACGGGCCGAGATCTTTATGACTTGGTTTGTCGTACTATTGGGTTACGTGAAACGTGGTATTTTGGTTTGCAATATGAAGATTCTAAAGGGCACATTGCATGGCTGAAATTGGATAAAAAGGGTATGCTCTCAGGGTTTGGTTTTATTAAATTAAAATATAATTCTATTTGGCATTTAGTTCACGATCAAGGAATTCCTCAACAAACAACTATGCCATTTATGTTTCTTGCTAAATTTTATCCTGAAGAAGTAGCTGAAGAACTTGTACAAGAAGTTACTCAACATTTATTTTTTTTACAAGTTAATCGTGCCATTTTAGCTATGGATATTTACTGTCCTCCCGAAGCATCAGTGTTGTTAGCATCTTATGCAGTTCAAGCAAAAGTAAGGCAAATATAATTTACTTAAATTACAGTCATGTAATTTAATTGTTTTATTAATATTTTAATTTTAAACTTTGAGACAAACAGAAAAAGTTGGTCTAACATAATATCATAATGTATTCTCATTTATTCTGTTATAAAATCTTCCAAAACTAGGAGCAGTTGCTTCTGGAAGTTTATACCAAATTGTCCTTGGGTGTAATTTAAGTAACTCCTGTTTTTGCCTACAATCTAAGTACAACTAAGTTGCATTTTTATAGTTTGGAGATTATGATGAAGGAACCTATAAACCAGGAATGCTTGCCAGTGAAGAATTATTACCTCAAAGAGTAATTGATCAATATCAAATGACAGCAGAAATGTGGGAAGAACGGATTAAAGTCTGGTATGCTGACCATCGAGGAATGTCTAGAGATGAGGCTGAAATTGAATACTTGAAAATTGCTCAAGATTTAGACATGTATGGTGTTAATTATTTTCCCATTAGTGTAAGTTGAAATCATTCATATAACTTTAATTGTAACTATATCTTTTTTTAATTACAATCAAGTGATTTTATATATATTATAGAACAAAAAAGATACAGACTTATGGTTAGGAGTTACATCTTTGGGATTAAATATTTATGAAAAAGAGAACAAATTAACTCCAAAAACAACATTCCAATGGTCTGAAATCAGACATGTTAGTTTTGATGATAAAAAATTTACCATTAAACCTGTTGATAAGACATCACCAAATTTTGTGTTTTATTCACACAAAGTTCGAATGAATAAATTGGTAAACATTAAGTTTAATTTTTACAATATATAATCCTCTATTATAAAACATAAATAATACTTAATGTCATTTAAATTTTTTTTAGATTTTAGATCTATGTATAGGAAATCATGATCTCTTTATGAGAAGACGTAAACCAGATTCGATGGAAGTTCAACAAATGAAAACGCAAGCAAAAGAAGAAAAATCTAGGTATTTACAAACATGCTATTATTATTTTATAATAATTATTAATCAGTATACATTATGTCTATATTTAAATTACTTATTAATTATTATTATGTTATTAGACGACAAATTGAACGTAATAAATTAGCACGAGAAAAACAACTTAGAGAAATTGCTGAAAAAGAAAAGGCAATTATGGAACAACGGTTAATGCAATATCAAGAAGAAATCCGTTTAGCAAATGAAGCATTAGTTAGTACAATAGTTATTAATAAGTTTGATCTTAAATTATGATTTTAATTTTGTATAGAATTAAGTAAAAATATACTAATGTTATTACATATTTTTCAGAGGAGATCTGAAGAGACTGCTGATCTTTTAGCTGAAAAGTCTCGTGTAGCAGAAGAAGAAGCTATGTTATTGGGCCAAAAAGCTTCTGAAGCTGAACATAAAATTACACAATTCCGTTTAACTGCACTTAAAGTAATATTATTTATTTTATTTTTATTTTAATATATTTTAATCAATTTATTAATAGACTGAAGAAGAAAAAGTTAGTCTTGAACGAAAAACACGAGAAGCTGAACAATTAACTGCACGACTTGTAGATGAATCAGAAAGGCGAGCAGCTGAAGCAAATAAACTTAAAGAAGAATTGCTTAGAGCACGTGTAGCTGAAAAACAAGCGAAAGAAAAATTACTAGAGTTCCTTTCTAGAAATGCTTATATTAATACTGTAGGTACAATTTTTACTATTATTGTAGCACATAAAGTATTAATTTTTGTTTCTTTCTATTTTTAATTTAGAGTGTTTCAAGTTTGTATTCAGTGTCTAGTAATTCAGTACTAGACGTTCCTGCTGATCTGCATGCATTAAGATTAAATGCTAATTCACCAACATTGTCACTTACCCATTCTCCTCCACCTGTCCTTGCAGATCATCATTTACCATCTTATGATTTTATCGCTGATAATGATATGGAACAATTATCATTAGAAATAGAAAAAGAAAGGTAATATGTATTAATAGTTCAGGAACATCTTCAGAGAAGGGGAGGAAATGGTATTGTTGTAACCTTTTTTTTGTTACTTATTTTTATCGCTCTAGGAAAATATATAATAGTACACTGTACAATTATATATGAAGTTTTTCCCCCACCTTCCCTCAAAAAAAAAAAAAAAACTAGGGATGCTACTGTACTAGTTAGTAGAATTTCTTTTAAAAAATTATATGCGTTTAAGTATAACTAATAAGCATTTTAATGTTTACAGAGTTCAGTATTTAGAGAAAAGCAAACATCTTCAGGATCAATTAAGAGACTTAAAAACTGAAATAGAAGTACTTAAAGTTGATGAAAAACAGTGCGAGTTAGATATGTTACACGATGAACAAGTACGACTCGGAGAGAACAAATATTCTACACTAAAAAAAATAAATATATTTTTTATTAAATTGTATATATTTTAATTTGTAATTTAATTTAAACAAAATTATTTTTTAACATCTGCAAATTAAAATTAATAGATTACTGAAGAGAAATATTGCTCTAAATTCCATAGATGATATGCTTTTTATTTAATATTTAATTGATAAATGATTTTAGTCTTTATAATAATAAGTATGAAAAATAATATAATTTATATTATATATTATAATTCTCTACACAATTTCAACACTTGTGTTCATATTTATATTAATAAATTCATGCTTCAAAATCTTACAATTTAAATCTATAATTGATCTTTTAATGTTCCTTCATTATTGATAAAAATATAATACTAATTATACTAATCCTAAAAGCAACAGTTATAATTAGAATTGGCTTATTTATAATAATAATGTTAATGTCTTGCATTAGTTTATTAAAAAGTAAAGAAAAAAGTATTAGAACTTTTTTCAATTATACCTCCTAGTATAATTATAGTATATTAACATTTTAAATATTAATTAGGTGAAATGTGGATCAACAAAAGCCCGTGTTGCATATTTTGAGGAGTTATGACAAATTGTAATCAAAATTGTAGAATCTCCATCGCAATCAAGAATTAATTATGTATGTACAAATACGCATGACTATTGTGTATATGCTGTTTATATTTATAAATGATCAAAATCAATCTTATATAATAGTTAAAACTAAGTTAAATTAGTTAAAACTAATAATTTATATTTTTAAAATAATATTTTGTTCATCACTTAACGAACAACATTAATCAAATAAAATACCTTAGTTTATTTTACTTATTTCCTTGCCTTTTTAATTCATTTTAGAAATTATTTAGTACATATCTAAAATAACATATTAAATGACAAAGTGTTTTCTTTACAAGTACTATGAGAAGTCAAATTTTCATAAATTATGAATTTGAGAACAATTATAAATATAATCTCTCATTAACAATACTGTTAAAAATTTAATAAATTATAAAAGTATTAAGAAATATTTTTATGTACTCATTTGTATTACTACTAGAGTAGTTATAGTTTGAATAGTTGTACAAAATGTTTTTTTTTTTTTTTTGTATTACAAATTAGAATAGTACTGCATAAACATATATTGTGATTGTAAATGTAGAATGAGAATGCATGTTTTGTATTCATATCATACTTATATTTTTCAAGTATTAAGTTATCTGTCTAGATAGTGTCGTTAATATATGTATATATATATTTTTATATTTGGTTATGTCTCGACGATTGAGTGCCCAATTACTTTTAATATTATATTTTATGTAGTACAATAGCAATTTTTCAGTAGCTAGATATTTACAATAAATTAATTTTCTTAAGTAGGTTGAAAAAAATAATAAATATCCTGTTTTTTCCTCCCATGTGTTAGGAATTTTGTTAAGATATATTTAACTGTAAGAAGTACGCTATAACTAGCACAAATTAAGGATTCCTTATTTGGTGCTAGTTGGTGAGTATTGTGTGTTCTATTTGATTGTTCTTTCAGTTTGTATGGTGATATCCAAATAATATCTTATAACTTAAAATATAATACAATTATTTGAGATATCAATATCAAATATAGTATACATATCTTGAATTGAGAATTATGGTAGAAAATCAAGTGGTTCTGTACTTTAAATTAAGAATGTGAACATGCAAATTAAAAATATCTCATTTTTAATTATCAATAAATATATCTAATATGTATTCATAATTATAAATGGGTATTTTAAATTTTCATCAAAAAATTAATTTCCCTACATTTAAACTTGTACATACAATTATTGAAGACTGAAGTTTATCAGAATATGAAATTAATTATCATTTATAAATTTCTAATTAGTTTTTTTCAAATACAATTTTATTCTCAAACTAATTACATATTGTTAATTTTTATCTGTACCACACCTATTTAGGTAAGTAAAACAAAATATTTGTTAGGATCAGATCTTATTTAAAATGAGGTTTTTGGTTGCAAACATTTTTATTAAAACCAATTATTTATTATTGATAATAGAATGCAAAACATGAACAGTTAACGTCAAATTATTAAAATTTATCTTAATTTTCAATTTATAAATCATTTCTAAATTAAAAAATAATAAAAGCCTTAAATATTTTACTGGGCTTTTTGTTATAGTGATGTTAAATGATAACCCTATTATCTCACTTGAATTCTTATCACATTTACACATTTAGTTACAAGTATTTTTCCAATATTATATTATACTCTAAATTTTTAAGTTCTTATATTTCACAGAATTGAATAGATTTGTATGACGTTTTTTACAAAAAATCGTAAAAAGCTATGCTACTGGTAAGTTCATTATTGTATTGTTTTTACTTAACTATAAGGCATTTTAGTATGTAGTTATGTATATCAGTGGTGCAACTATGGGGTTAGCACCTAGGAATACCTAAACAACCCCATGTTTTTATTACTCAAAACTATCTATAATTCATAACATTGTTCCAGATTAAATAAAAAAATACATTTGTTAATATCAATAGGAAATTATGTTTGATACTTAAAATTTTAATTTATCAAAATACTAATACAAAAATATAAAATGTGTTACATTTTTTTGCCTATAATGGTATTGTGAATATAATAATGGTGTATTATAAATATTGGTTGTATGAATGTTTGGGGATATGGGATTCAAAATGTAGTATCCTCTAGATTTTAATTCTAGTTGCGCCACAGATACATATATTAATATAGTGTTGTTATGTTATTGATGATTTTTTAAATAATTAATATAACTCAATTAATCCTTACTTTTTTTTATATAAGAATAACAATTTTTTACTTGTTAAATGTTGCATGTATATTTTGGTGTAATTTTTCGATTATTTTGTTGGTATTAATCATATTATTTACTTTATTAGATAGTTTAAAAAACTCAAAGTATACATATAAGTTTATATTTTAGAATACTACCTAGTTACAATAGCTGAAAAAAATTATATATTAATATATTTTAATAGTTAGCTTAGATTAAACTATGTTAATATGTCAAATACAATTTTAGGTTTCATTGACTAGATTATTTATTTCATGTAGTAGTTTTAACATGAAATATATATATATATATATATATATTATGTTAATTATATTATTTCAACACAAGATATTTAAATAGTTAATTTTATTTTGGAGACCAAAATATTGCAATTATTTAAAATAGTTGCTCTTTGAAGTTTAACATGTTAAAAAAATTATACTTTTAATACTTTGATATCTTACTATAGAGTATTATTTATTTTTATTAGGATTTACACTACTTATATTAATATATACTATAAATAAATTATTTATAATTAAATGAGTATTATCATTGATGATATACACTATTATCACCATATTTAAATGCAATAAAACATAAAATTTAAGTAACTAAAGGGTTTTTTCAGCTATTATAAACAGGATTCTTCACATGCACAAATGAAAAATAAACATTGCAAGTTAGGTTACTTACCTTACCAAAATAATTTTTTAATTTGCTAAAATATAGACTATCATATAACATAATACAACACAATTATTTATAGGGGCAAAATTTTGTGCAACAACATAAAAGAATTCAATTCCTCTAAAGTAATGGCTAAAAGTAAATATGAATATGTACGAACATTTGAAATGGAAGACAAATGTTTACAGAACTGTTGGATTGTTGTGCGGTTGGATGGCCGCTCATTCCATAGGTTAGTTTTTAATGTTTCTCTAATGAAAAAAGCTAGAAATATATCAAATAAAGTATATTTTATTTGTGGTAAATAATATTGAAAAAATTATGTATTCGTAATAATTAAAAAATAGTTTTACAGATTTATAAATTAACTCTTTGTTTATATAATCATTAGTAAAAAAAAAAAAAAATTGTTTTATTAATAAAGGATTTACTTGTGGTTTTATCCCCAGAGTAATAATCACATTAAAATTGTCAACATTTTTTTTTTTTTTTAATGAATTTGTTAATAAGATCATTATCAAAAACAAAACAAAGGTTATTTTAAATACAAATATTTTTCAATCTATTAAATATAATATCAAAAAATTATAAAATGTATGAAACTATCAGTTGAAACGTTAATATTTACAGAAAAATGGTAAAATAAAATTGTTTTTCTTTAATTATATTTATTTGACATAATTTGACACGGGCTTAACCATTAGTAAATTTTTGTGAAACATCTTGTATAAATTATTTTTTTATTATTAGGGACCGGATTTAAATGCACAAAAAATCTTACAAATATGCTCTAAGAATTAACCAAAAATATCTTTAAAAAATGCATTTTACCACAAAAATGACCTTTAAAATGAAAAAATGACACAATCTTTTTTATTTCGGGTATAATTTAACACACTAATACATTAAAATTACAAACACATGTAATACGATCAACATGTGCGAGGTATTACGAACTAGCTGATTATTTCTTATTTAACCGAATACTGGTGACGTTCTAAAGTCAATAATAAATTAAGATATGATAAAAATTGACTCGAAAAATAAAGATTGACAATGTGTATGGAAAAACCCGATAAATCTACTTAAATATCAAGAAAATAATTTATCTTTTGAATAGGCTAAATTTGTTTAGTATATCGAACAAATATGTATTAAAAACCAACAAAATGACCCAATAATACTAAAAATGAAAAAACATCGAAATATGCAAAAAAAAAATGCAAAATTAAATTTGTAATTTTTAAATCCTCGTTACATGAAACAAATTATGTTCTTAGAAAGCATTGTGTATGATTAACCAAAAAAATATGCACTTTGCATTGAAATCCGGGCCCTATTTATTACACTAAAATTTGTTTTTAAATTAATAGTAAATATTTAATTTTTTCTTGAATTCAATTATTATTTAATTATATGTTTTAACTTTAATACTTTGAAAATAAATAGATGAGCATTTTTTACTTATGTTAATAGGTTTACATCTTCACACAAATTTGAAAAACCAAATGATAAAAGAGCACTAGAATTAATGAATAGATCTGCTGTAGCTGTGATGGAAGAACTGCAAGATGTGTCATTAGCTTATGGGCAGAGCGATGAATATAGTTTTGTACTGCGAAAGGATACCAATATGTATAATAGACGGCAGTCAAAAATTATGTCAGCAATTAACAGTATATTTTCTGCTTCATATGTACACTATTGGAGTTCATATTTTAAAAATATTAAACTTTTGTACCCTCCTTCATTTGATGCACGAACTGTGCTATATCCAAGTGATCAAAATTTACGAGATTACTTAAGTTGGCGCCAAGCAGATACTCATATTAATAACTTGTATAACACTGCCTTTTGGGGTCTTGTCTTAATGAAAGGGCTATCTAATAATGAGGTACTATTATTAACATATATTAGAAACACTTTTTTTTTTTTATAAAAGACTAATAAAAGATATTTGTCTTAGGCTGAAAAAATATTATGTGGGACAGTATCATCAGAAAAAAATGAAATATTGTTTAAAGAATGTGGAACTAATTACAATAACGAGTTACCAATATACAGAAAAGGTACAGTGTTAGTAAGAAAACTTATTCGCATACCTTCATCTAAATCCAAGAAACATGTAGTATGTCCTTTACATGTAGATATTATTGGTGATGATTTTTGGAAAGAACATGATGAAATATTAAATTTAGAGAAAATAAAATTTAATAAAGACTTTAATCCAGAAGATAATTTTTACATTGTAAGAAACTCTTGAATAAAAATCATTTTAATATGTATGCGTTTTATTTATAACATCAAAATGTATATTATTTGAGACATTTTTTTGCGAGTAAATGAAAGTGATCATTTATATATTACGATTAAATTAGTAAAAACAATATATAAATTTTGTTTACACATCATTATTAATGTTAATGAGCTTCTCCCACTTTACCAGCAACACGTTTAAAATCACCCATATTCGTTGTAGATATAGGCATTCCAATAATACCCAAACTATCTATTCTTGTAACTTCTTCATCTGTTTGATTGTTTATGACGAATATCTGTAGATTATGAACATTCTGGAATTTCACATACTTCAAATTGACAATTTTACCATCCAATTCTTCAGGTTTCAATTCAAGTTCTTGGGTAGCTACATTACTAGTAGCAGTATCAAAGTCTAAGGTGTTTGGTTGGTTAATAAACAATTTCAACATTTTTGGACCACTATCTTTTGGAGCTTTAACCTAAAAAATATTTAAGAAATTTGGTATGTATTACAATAGATGATAAAATAAATCATGGGAAAAAGTTAAATACAAAAGATATACTATAAACATCAACCAATAATTGGATGTTACTTTATAATTCTCTGTATATTAATTTCAATGACATAGTTTATTAATATTTTATTATTCAGTGATTCAATAAAATTAAAAATATTTATATTTAATTAGATGTAACATTAGGCTTACAATATCACAAGTTTAATAAGATTTAGTGAATTATAATAGTAGTATTACGCATAAGTATTTATTTAAATTAAATTATTTTGAGAAACCCTAACACATAAATAAATATTTATAAATAATTTAACAAAAATCTTACTTATGAAAGAAATTTGTTTCCTTAGTTTAAAAATAATTTAAGCGTTTGAATCCTTAAGACCCCTTATTTTAAATTAGAATATAAATATACAATTTACTGATGAAAGATATAGATTTATGGTTTTCTCCATTGATCTATTATTAATTTCTATTACATACTTATCATTAGGCTTAGGGACTTAGAGCTCTAAGAAATACACAAATATGCTTCTAAAATCCTTAAAATATATATAATAATATGCATTTATATGAAAAAATGACCACATAATACACAAAATAAAACGTGTCCATCAGATGTAAATGTATCTTTAAACTCCGAAACAAAACTTTGTAGTCAACTACTCGTAGACTGTTGTACTTTTGGCATTACACAATACTACAAAATATTACAAAATATACGCGTACGACGTTTTACATATGATTCGACATTGTGTGGTTACAAGATGCAAAAACAACAACGGATAATAATCGACTAAACTGAACACTAAACAAATTTATTATTCTATATTGACTATTATCTATATCAACATCTGGTCGATATCCAGCAAGTTATACAGTCAATACGAGTTTATAGTATTATTTATACTTACACAAAAATTATAACGAGACATGGGAGGTAGATTGAAGATATATATTATATATATGATATATATATATATCTGTATTTAACAATAATTAAAAAAAGTTTATAAATGCTAGAAGTCCCTAAGCCTACTTAATACAAATCTTTAATATTATGTTTAACTTACTTTAATAGAATGAACTTTGACAGATTGTGTGAAAGTTAATGATAAGATAAGTTGTTGATCGCAATCTGATTCTATATAGCCACGACTCTCAATAAGTGCAGACAATGGATGGTCATCCGAATCATTGAGGGCTTCACATTGATTTTTCATAATCATTGAGTTCAGGTCCATCTGACCTGGTACTCCACAATCATCACCAGTAGCTGCACATGCTGCTTCATATAGTTGTTTAATTTTTGTTTCAACTGCTCCGATGTCAGCACCCTGAATCTTTGCCACTTTAGCTTTATTACGGTAGAATATGAAAGTTGGCATAGCTGACACACCTTGGCTGGCAGCAGTCTCTTGGCACTTGTCAACATCCACTTTGAGGAATACTGCACGATCGTACTTGTTAGATAGTTCGTCGTATAACGGCGCGATGCGTCTACACGGACCGCACCAGGTGGCTGAGAAGTCTACAACCAACAATTTCATGCAGTTCGCGTTCAACTCTTCTTGGAACTGGGGATCGTGCATTATTTCCTTGACGACCATTTTTACAGATAATCGTTCACACTTACAAATTACGATACACAATCAAGTAGCAACGAAATCTGAGGAAATTTAACTTGAACGTTGTAGGCAATGAGTTGGTAATTTATTCTTTATCTGTAGAAGACCAGTGAACATTGTACAACAGGATAATATAATTGTACGACGAGTATTAATTATATTTTGCAAGTCAACAAATGTTATCATAAATACAGGGTGATCGTACAGCAGATAATAAAATATGTTGTATAAAGTTACTGAACAAAAGTGCCACATGGCAGTTTTTACAAAAAATGATAAAGATTAATGTAAGAGCCGTACACAGATATAGATAAGATAACGTTATCTATATCTGAGGGGCCATACCATAGAGTAATACTCTATGGGCCGTACGAATGGATCTTCGCAGGAAAAAAAATTTTGTGTCCGTATATAATATTGCCTATATTTAGCCTCTTTTTTTGCAGCTATCAATATGTGATAACGTTGATAAAACGATAACATCATTTTCATTATAATTGCCGATTACAGATAAAATAAAATTATAAAATAATCAAGATTAATTGTTAGACACTGGATATACTATCCATAGGACTATCTGTTGGGTTTATACAGAATATTAAAAAAGTATAAAGCCAAAAGTAATTAAAAAAAGATAACATTTTTATTACTCTTATATTTCTCCATACCTCTAAGTTCAAAGTACCATATTTTAATCTTTTTTGAACGTGAAAGACAATGAATTAATTGTAAGATACAGCAATACTTAAATATGGCACCAAAATTAAATTAGTAAATTAAGGTTTACTATAGCTGATAGAGCAAAATTGGCAGATAGTTTATTTTATTTTATATAATAATATACTACTATCTATACTGGTTCCTATTCAAAGGGTATTAAATGATGTCCAAGATTATGTGGAAGGAACAACATTGAAATATTTATAGTATGAGTTTTATGGGCCAAATAGTTAAAATGTATTAATAATCCAATTTTGTATTTTAAATACTATGCAATATGATTTTGCAACAAATTTAGGAAAATATGATATTTTTATTTGTAAATGACTAAATCTGTGTTGATGGGAACCATGGTTTAAACATTAAACAGCTAGATACGCTTTTATAACAAAAATACAAAATATTAAACCTATATAATATTATTTGTATTATATTTTCGCTTGAAATATTCGCAATGAATTATGTATTTTTAAATTTATATTACGATATTGTGTTTTTTTCGAATTGTGTATTATTAAATTTATTTAACTATTAATGTAGTTAGCTATTTTAATTTAAATTTAACAATGTATAAAACCATTATAATGAAAATTATTTTATCATTTTATCAATGTTATCACATTTTGATAAGTGTATAAAAGGGGCTTAATGTTGGCAATATATATTATATACGGACACAAAAAAATGTTTCCTGCAATGATCCATTCGTGGCGCCGTTCGTAGAAAAATGCTGACGCGGCTTCAGAGACTTACCAAGGGGGGCATTTTTAAGTATTAATTAATATTAGTTGTTTCCCAAATTAGTTCTGAGACACAGAGTTTATGATAAACACCTCATATTAATGTCTTAATATGGTTTTTTAGACAAAATAAAATTATTAGGTAGGTATCTAATTAAATAATCGGAATTTTACAGTTCACAAGGACAAAAATGTAATAACAATTTTTAATTCTTGAAAAGCCTGGAGAGGGCCTTCGTCCCAATGTCCTCTCCCCATGGATCCGCTCCTGGAACAACAATGATAACCTAAGTATCTTATGGACCAATCTGTATATTAAAAACAATTTACTTTATAGTACATACAATGTAAAAGATCTCTTGTAATATAACGTAAATGTAGATTAGGACATCTTGAGACAACTAAATTTCCTGAGTTTTAACTAAGTTATGTAACACAATGTTAATTATGAAATGTTTAAATGATTTCCAAAAACATTAAAGAATTGAACATAAATTGTAAATTGTAATGATATGTAAATTTAATATTTCAGAAATTTTACAAATGTTTGAAAACAATAAGTTATAAATAAAAAATATTGATTAGTTATATTAAACAAAACTTTATTAATTTTTATGTAAACTTTTAAGTACACACAGATTGAAATAATTTTATATTCACACAGAATGTATTATAATTTATTAATTTTTATTACTGAATTGTAAATATAAATATTTATATTACTGATTCTTAAGAAGGGTAAGTGATTTAATAAATATTTAACACTTAATCACTAGCCAATTTGATTTTTATTTCAATTTTTATATTAGAACAATAGTTTATATATAAAAAATATATTTAATTATTTTACAGTATTTATATACAAAATAATAATTACAACAAAATAAACAAGTTCTATTGAAAAATACATTTTTTTTAAAAATTTTATAATATATAATATGTTGGTTTTTCTATATTCAAAAACTTTTGTTTTACTGAATATAATACTTAAATTTTTAGAACTCACTAAAAAAATTTTTACGTCGAAAGATGATGAAAAATTAAATTATGAAAATCATATGTAATGTAAAAATCTTTACAAAGATCAGTAATTTATATTGCCTAACCATTATTACGAAGTTCAGACTTCTTGAATGGTTCCATTTACAAAAGTAATTTCACTAAATGAGGCAATATGATTTTATAATAGATCTCGTAGTTTAATGTTTTTCAGTTAAATATCTAAATTATTATACATTAATTGTTTATTAATTGCATGTTACCTATAGATGGTTAAATTTGTAACATAAATTAACTTATTAAAAATATATGAATAAATAGAAAAATATATTAAATAAATATAAATTGATATACTAACATTGAAAGTTATTGAATATATAAAATATAAAATGCCTTTTAGCACTATCCATTACAAATTTTTAAAAAATATTTTATTACACAATAAAAAATGATTTATGCAATGTAACCTACTCTATCTGGCCTCATCAAAATCTTGATCTTTGTCATCTTGGTAAAATTCATTTGGTGCATCAACTCTTCGATCAAGTTCAATTTGTGATTGCCGTACATCTGGATCAATTTCGTCTAAAGCAATTGCATTAACTTCCTCAGTAGGAAGAGCATCGCCAGGGACATTTTGAATCTGTACACTAGGAGAGTGCTGTACCATTTTTAGATTATCATAAGTATGCTTAACAATAAGTTCCAAGTATTGTTTACTATTGGCATTTTCCTGGCGAGTTACAACTTCAGGGTGTAATAAAAAGTCAGGAGCAAAATAATCACGATATTCATGTTCAGGAATTGTGTTGCTAATGTCTTCATTGATCAAAAGAGATGTTTCATAAGTCCAACAACGAGCAACATTTCTTAAAGTATAACTAAATAAAATAATTAAATTAAACATCAAATAATATAAATATACAAATAATATTATATTTTAATATTTCATTTCAATAATTTTAACACAACAATTACATGTTTACATTTATTATAAATAATTTATCAGAAAAATTTAAAAAAAAGTTAAACTAGAATAAAAAAATATAGGAAAATAAGTTTAATATATTTTATTAACCTTAATACATCAAAAATTACTTACCCTCCACCACCAACTGTCAGAAGAGGTACATTGAGATCTTTTATGAATTTAACACATTCACCATGGCCTTTCGTACTGAGATTAAAACAACCCAAACGATCACCATTTAAAGAATCAGCACCACATTGAAGAACTATTGCTGTGGGTTGATAAAGATCCATTACATGTTGAATCACAGGTTTAAACACCTAAAAAAATGTATTTATACAGACATATTATAAATTTAAACCCTAAAACCATATAATTTACATTATCAAAATAGAAGTATCCATATTCTGGGAATAAATACGGTTTTGAATAAATAATTTAAAACCATTCGTAATCACTGATCAAGATTAACTGGAATAAATATTTTTAAGTATGTACTTTATTAAAAAAGAAAAAAAAACCAGAAACTGAACTTGATATTTGAAAAAAGGTAAATTGATACAATAAAATAGTAAACTACTTTTCAATAAGATAGCTGATTATTTTAAATAAGATTATCAATATTTGTACACAACAAATTGCTTAACATTATTTAACAAATTATAAAAATTCAACAGAAATCACCGATAATTATCTAATTTATTGTAAATTTTTATATTCTAAAATCTCATGAGTTTAAATATATTTAGTACCAAAATAAAGCGATAAAAAAAATTGCAATATCCTTTATTGAATCTCATTTGTTATCAATTCTAATGTTCATAAATATTAAAAATAAAAGAATAATTGTTTCAAAATGTTTTTTTTTTTTTTTTTGATACTAATTATTAAAAATTGAATATTTTTCAAGTTTCTGGTACATTATTATAGTTGTACATACCTGTGAATAACTTAAATCATCAATGCCTTCTTTTAATGGCACATTTACAGAATAATATCGCCCAACATCCGCTCCGATTTCATACATGTCACCAGTGCCAGGGAAAAACCAATTACCATATTTATGAAAAGATACAGTCATAACTCTATCTGTTAGGTAAAAAGCTTCTTGGACACCATCACCGTGATGTACGTCAATGTCAATGTACAAGACTCGAGGATGATACTTCAACAGTTCTAAAATGGCTATCACAATATCATTCACATAACAGAAACCGGAAGCTTCAAACTTCTTGGCATGATGGAGCCCCCCAGACCAATTGATGGCAATGTCGCAACAGTTCTTGTTAAGCTTCATCGCACCATCCAACGATGCACCCGTGTACATGGAACAGAAATCATATAGGCCCTCAAACACGGGACAGTCCTCGCCTACGTTGAAGTGGTTCAAATACTTGCTGTATGTAGTGAGATTTTGAGGCGTCACACGCTGCAGGAACTCGATATACTCGTCGTGGTGAAACCTACACATGTCGTGCGCGCTGGCTCTGTAAGGACGGTAGATTTTCATTTTGTTGTAAAGCCCGTAGTTCAGCACCAAGCTGTGTATGACCGACAGACGGTGTGGCTTCATCGGATGCGCGGGTCCGTAGTGGAAGTTACCCACGTCTGGGTTGTAGAAGTAAAACACTCGCTTGTTGGACATTGCTACTGTTGCTTGTTGTGGCCGTAGTCACCACTGAGTTTAGAACTTTCGGGACGCGTTTGTCACGTTCTGATGTAAGCGGACTGGATCAATTTTGAGCACATTGCGCTCGAATGGGAAAACAGCAAAACATTACCCCGACCCTAATATTCAATACCCATCACCCACAACAGATCCGTGATATACGGTAAACAACAACAAAAATAAAAATAACAGACGATATTGTATTTCACAACGGGATCGCGTCGACGGAATAATAAATCCTGAACGTAGTAACGATCGTTATACCGATACGCATGTACAAAAATCGTTTGAATACGGCATTAGGTATAGCAATTGATTCCCAAAATGGTACCGTTATTAGACGTTATCAAAATGTCTAAAGCACAGATAAAGATATTAGATATTTTAGTCCGCGATTAAAATATTTATATTTGTGCTGGCACTATTTTTATCAGTTATCGATTTATCGTCAACTCTGTCGTTACTTATCATTGTTCAAAGGATAAATTCTACTGGTAAGAATAAATTCCACTGCTTTTTTCTGTATCTAAAACTTTAACGGTTTACTCATTTTTTTCAGTATTCATAATTTAGAGACGCATCTATCTTTTTTTTTTTTTTTTTTTTTATTTAAGAGGCGCATAAAATATTTGCCTCAGCGATTATAATAACAATACAATATGACTTAAAATAATGTTAAATTTCACAATTAATATATAAAAACATAACAAGATAAGAGAAATAAACACAATTATTAAGATGAAAATAAAAATATCGAAGATAGTTAATTATAATATAGATAAGCATTACAATAGAAAGTTTCTTATTTTAATATTTAGAGATGTGGTTGTTAGCTATTCGGCTAACAGGTAAACATAAAATACAATTATAAAAATTGCAGTTAATTACAATTATAATAATAACTTAGGAATAATTTTGTCGCATGAAATCGATAATTAGGTAATTAGATAAGAATACGAAATGAAATGGTACATAATTTGATGTACTTACAATGATATATGGAATTACAATTGACCTTTATTTAATAATGACGTAAGGAGTGACAGGAGGGGTTTTATAATCGCAGTGAATTCTGTAAAGAAAAAGTTAAATAAAGTTTCTATATTAGGAGAGTGTGGAAGTGGGAGTGTTTATAATTGGCGGAAGTAGCTTCGGCATATGATGGTTTATCAGTATTGGAATTTAAGGTGGATTTAGGAGAGTTAATATGAGATTTGGGAGAAGAAATGAAGTGTTCACGATGAGGTGGTCTATTTTTAAGTTTTTTATAAACAGTACAGCCTTTGTAATTTGCTGGGTGACTACCTTGGCATAAAGCACATCTGGCCGGAGATCCTGGTGACATAGTGCATACGTCAGATCTATGTTCTTCGCCACATCTGATGCATCGTGGAACGTGGTTGCAGTAACCTTGAGTGTGCCCGTAAGCTAGACAACGGTGGCATTGAGATGGGCCTTTACGTTAATGGGGTTTTTCGACAACAATTTTTGTGTTTAGAAGATAATCGATTTTGTATAAATCTATATTGTTAGTGGCCCTTTTGAGGTCAACGAAAAAGAGAGGTAGAGGTGATTTATCGGAAGAGCGCTTAATGTTATAAACGTGGGTAACCTGGTGTCCCAATTCCGAAAGAGCGGGAATTATATCTTCAGTAGTGGTAAAGGGGTGGAGATTACGAATCACCACACGTAATGGGCGCTTATCATACGACTGGTATGAATGAAAACTGATATTGGTCTCAACTAGATATTTAATGAGTAGTCTGTAATGCTCATAGAAATGAGTATGGATGATCAGGTAAAGAGTGGTTTTACAGATAAACTCAATTGTATTGATAATTTTCATCAAGTTTGAGGTGAAACTGGAAAAATTATCCACGCCTTTAATATAAACTACAGGTGGTTTTGGTGGAATTTTTTGATCATGAGATTGAGTCTTGTTTGGCTATGTGTTTTTGTTTGAGTCGTTTAGTGTGGTAAGAACTGAGTACCGGTTAGAAGTTATAAATATTTTTGATCCCTTATCCACTGGCTTGGGTGAAAGCGAAGAAGACGATAAATTTTTTTTGCTTGTGCCACGACTATTAGTCGATTGGGCCGCCATATTACGTAAACGTAAAGACAGAATAAAATAATATAATATTAGCGTATGAAAAACAGATAACGGAGCGAACGTAATGACCATGCGTTCATGGTTAACGTTATCGCCGGACTATGCATCTATCTTATACAAATTATAAATAACAGCTATTACTCACAAAAAATTAGCCACAAAACCGTTTTATTTATTTTTTTGTTCTATTTTGTTATACATCATCTAACTATAATTTTTAGTATACAGACGCAATACCTATCTGCTAAGTTTTTTATCAGCTTTTTTTTAAGCTTAAAGTTGTTTTCAATCCATTAGTATACTTATAATAAATCATTAAGTTCAAAACTAATTGAGTTTTTAATGAATAAAAATGAAATTTATAATAAGCCGATCTAATTTAATGTCTTTATCAATTAATAAATAATTTATAAATTGTATAAATTTAACTAATTAATATTTATTGACTTTGTGACAGTCTTGAGAGATTAACATTTGTTAAATTTAGCTCAGCTATTACCTATAAAACATTTGGAACATTTCTAGTTTACGGGACACCCAAAAATTTGGCAATTTTTTTGGGGTACTGATTCATATTTTGGGTGAAAAAAATGTTGGTGAAATTAGAATCTGGTGCAAGAATTTAGTTTTGAAGTTATAATTAATTAAAGTTTATAACTTTACACTAAAACTCTTAAATACTAATTTTTCTTTATAAAGAATCTCCAAAAACATTGCGTAATGGTAGCAACATCGTTTATTTATCCACGTAGCCGAGTTCGATCCCCCCGTATAGGTATAATAAAATTTTGAATTTTTTTTTTTTTATGATAATTTTGTATCTAATTTGATCTCTTACAGCAATGAAAATTGTTTGCATTTTTTTTTTCGAAAAATTGGAACTTTAATTTTAAAAATTTTAAGACTTCGCTCGTTACGCCTGCAGCCGGCTCCACTCATAAACTCGAGTGCCACTGCGTAGCACTATTTTGGGGGGATGGGGCTTCGCCCCAAGAGGAATTATAGTCTAAACCTAACCTAGTTTTTGTTTAAACCTTGACATTGTTGTAAATGGAATTATGTTCTGCATGTGAACCTAAAACTTCGTTACGCGAGTGAAACCCTAAATCGTCATTAAAATTGTTTGTACTTTTTTTGTATTTTTTCTTGCGCATCGAATATCTATTGCTGTGAAACAGACTATAGGTACTGATATAACCTCATTATAAAATAAATATTATACCGATTACAAAAAAAAGTGCAAAAAAAATCCAATAAATATTTATTTCCCTACTACGGTATTGAACTCTCACTTTAATAATGGTCCCGCATTACCAAATGCACCACGACATCACTGAAGTAAATATTAGAAAAAATAGATTATTTAATCAAAACTATCAAACTTCAATAGGCTGTTACTTTCAAAATAATCGTTTGCTTTATCGTTTTCAGTGTTAAAAAATACATAAGTTGACATAAGAAAAAATCCAAAATTTTAGATGTCCCATAAAGTAGAAATATAACAAACATTTGTTTTTTTTTTTTTTTTTTTTTTTTTATTCATGGTATACCTTCAACTACTAAGGTTATTAGCTTATAACAAAAAGGCTGAGTATTACATATATAAATATACAAGAGTTACTTAAATTAGATAGTACATATTAATTTGTTTAAGAAAAGATAATATTTTATTGGTGTTTTCATTGGTAGGATTGAGGGCTTCAAAGATGTTGTCGGGCATTTTCAGTCGTTTTCTTGCTTCTGTGTGATTGCGACATTGAACAAGGAGGTGCTTGACCGTGAGAAGTTCTCCGCAGGTTAGGCACATTGCAGGTTCTTCTTTGCGCATAAAATGTCCATGGGACAACTTTGAGTGACCGATATGTAGTCTGTTGATAACTACTTCGTCTTTGCGATTATATGTATGGGGTTTATGCCAGTATACTGTAGTATTTTTAATTTCTCTTAATTTATTATTAGGTGTGCGTCGCCATTCGGATTCCCATTCATTGGTACAAAAGGTGCTGACATTCCTATGGATGTCAATGAGTGAGGAGTATGTGCGTTTTTTGGTTAGAGGGTTGTTGACTGTTTCACGAGCTACTTTGTCGGCTTTTTCATTGCCATCTATTCTACAATGGCCTAGTGTCCAAATGAACCGTATGGTCTTGTTGGATTTTTCAATGATATTGCTTATTTTAATTGCTAAGATGCTTGAATGCAAATTATACTTCAGATTGTTGAGAGCGCTGAGCGAATCAGTACAAATGTTAATGGTCGGATCGGATAATTTAATGGCTTGGTGAACTCCTTCCAGGAGTGCAAAGTATTCCGCCGTATAAATACTGGTATGGTCTGGTAGTTTGTACGATGTTGATTGATTGCCGTTTTTGATAGCGATCGCAACACCTGAGTTGGTTTTGGAGGCGTCTGTATAGATTTTTGGGTTAGACGAACAAGAATCCATTATTTCATTGAATAAGTTTTTAAATATAACATTTGACGTTTCTTTTTTACTATAATCTGCTAGATTGGTGTCCACAAGAAAGGATGGTACTCTCCAAGGAGGCCTCACACTGCATTCACGTTTGATAATTAAATTCGGATCAATGTTAGTGAGCGACATTTCATTCAACAACCTTAATCCCAGTGGTTTTTTTAGATTGGAATTGGAGCAAAATATATTTGCAAAACGATTTTGAATTAAAAATGGTGATGTTGAGTTGTCTGGAGAAGATAAGATGCGAGCAATATACTTTAAAACTAATTTAATTCTACGAATGCGAAGGGGTGGTTCTCCAGAAATGGATAAAATGCTTGGAATGGAGCTGCTTCGAACATTTATTTAAAGGAGCACACAACACAAAAAAAAAATTCTTTACATTTTTTTTTAAAATGTTAAATTATTGTAGATATGGCTATGATTTGGTGAAAATCCGATGGACAAAATACATAGAATTAGATTAAATGATGGCGGTCGGCGGATTCGTTGCTCGATTTCCGCTCGGCATGACACGCCGTTTAACAAAAATGTCTCTTAAGATTATTAATAATTGAAAAACTAAACGTCATATTGAAATTTTGATACTTGCATCGTTTTAAACACATAAGACCACACATTTATACACAAATTAAATTTCAAAAATAAAATGTTTAAGTTGGTAAATTATTGTGGAAGTGAGGAACTTTTTCACGCATAAGGTAATTATGATGAGTAGGACTCTGACGTCATGTGTCTTTTTTCAATTACTCATTACTTATTAAATGATGTGAGCAGAAACGTAAAACCTATACCATTATTTTCAAAATTGAACATTTTCTCAAATAAAAAAAACATATTTTTTGTGTTGTATGCTCCTTTAAAATCTCACAGTCAAAATTAATTTCAATATGCATTTTACATAGATTTCACTATCAACGTATAAATTTGATCTAAAGTGATTCAAATTTCATAAATTATTCCAACTTTTAACAAGTAAAAATATTATTTTAAAAAATATACTCGTATTTAAATTAATTTTTACGCAAACGTGTAGTAATAAATATTTTTTAATAAATAACTGAGTTTTAGTGTTATTTATTTTTCGATCTAGGACAATTGGACGTAGCCGTTTGGACGTGGGGACAAATGGATGTAAAAAAAATATATATAAATCAGTAAATGAAATAATTAAGTTATTTATATTTATTATAATATGTAAATTTTAATATCAAAAATATTCATTCAAAAAAACTTCACCATTAAGATTTTAATGACATCTTACGTGTACACTTGAACACTTGAATGCAATTTGTACACGACTAAAGGTCCCCACACACTGCCGCAGTGGCAGTGGCGTTGCGGTGGCGTTAAATTTGAACACACGTATTGTAATTGGAGTCCGCACACTGCTGCGGTAATACGGCCGCGGTAAAATATCACCACTACGATATTTTAAAAACCACAGCATGCTCGATTTCACCGCCACCGCTCAGCGGTATTTTCAATTGACTTATCAAATATACGCCAATAGTACTTATACTATCTAATATATATGGTGTATATTAGTCTAGACTTCGATTATTTTCTAGAAACTATTCAAGTTAAAGTTTAATATACTATTTAACTTAATTAAAAATAATAAATAAATAATTAAAGATAAATCGTCAATTTATTAATGACATAGGAATTAATTAATTATTATTGTATGTAATATCATTGATTATAAATATTTATAATCAATGGTAATATATAAATATATTATGTATAAACATATAAACAGTTTAAACTGGATAAAAATCGACACCGCCACCGCCGCAATTTGTTCAGGTCTGCGATTTTAATATCGCCACCGCGGCAGTGTGTGGGACCTTAACACGGTTATAGATGTATATTGTGTCTCGTGTATTACCGTGTTTCAATAAAGTGTGATAATTATTACAAGTTGTAAAAACCAATAATTTATATACACGGTGTTTCAAAAGTCTTCATCCAATTTCAAAAAATTATATATATATTAAAAATGAAGATATAAGGGTGAAATAAAGTAAAATATTTTTTTAAAATAGTCAAGTTTTATTTACTTTTGTTATAAATGTTCAATATGACCTCCACCGGCCGCCCAACACACATCTATACGATAATCAAATTCTTCCCAAACGTTGCTGATCATGTCTGGTGTCACGGCATTAACAGCATCTTTGATTCTGATTTTAAGCTCTTCCAAGTTTGTAGATAATGGTGGTACATACACTTTATCTTTTATGTAACCCCATAAAAAAAAAATCACACACTGTGAGGTCAGGGGAACGTGGTGGCCAGGGATGAATCGCCTAATCGTCGTTTCCTTTTCACTCAATCCAGCGCTTAGGAAGTTCACCGTTCAAATACCGGCGAACTTCTAAGTTCCAGTGCGGCGGTGCTCCATCTTGTTGAAAAACAAACCCATCACTATCCGTTTGTAACTGTGGAAAGAACCATGTTTACAACATGTTTAGATATGTGTTACCCGTTACTATGTTTTCTTCAAAAAAAAATGGACCGTAAACTTTTTTCTTGGAAATTGACTAGAAAACATTGATTTTTGGTGAATCTCTTTGATGCGCCCAAATCCTGACATTATGGCGGTTGACTTAGATGAAATGTGGCTTCGTCCGAAAAAACAATGCATGAGACAAATTACTCATTTTCTTTTTGTTTTTCGGATATGAAATTACAAAAATCAATCCTTTTTTGTTTGTCATCTGGGCTTGTAACAGTTGTAATCGGTATGCCTTCAATGTAAAATAACGTCATAGAATACGCCAAACGGTTGAACATGGGAGATCTAGCTCTAGGTCTGCACGACGTGTAGACTTCTGTGAACTTCGAACGAAACTTTGTCGAACACGCTCGATGTTTTCGTCAGAGGTACGTGGTCGACCTAAACGTTTCTGTGCACATAGACAACCACTTTTTTGGAAAGTTTGGTGCCATCATCGAATGCTTTGAGCAGTAGGAGCTTCAGTTCCATAAGTTTTTCGAAAATCACGTTTAACGGTTTTTGCCGACTCGCACTTATTGAAACGTAGAACGCAAAACGCTTTCTGTTGCGGAGTCGTCATAACGAAACAAACTAACGATTCCTAGTTCACTAACATTACGGTGTCAAATTTATCAACTAGATAACTTAAAATAAACTTAGTTATCTAATCTTTCCACTAATACATTGGTCATTAACCTACAATTAACCGTTGCCGAACTATATCAGTTCGTAATCGGATGAAGTCTTTTGAAACACCGTGTACATTGATATAAAAGGTACCTATTGCCAAAACGATAAAATTCGATAAGGTTTGATATTATGATACGATATTATTAGTTATATTATGAATATAAAATATCAATAGTTTTATAACTTATGAATATATATATTTATTTATTTTTTTGACGTCCATTTGTCCCCACGTCCAAACGGCCATGTTCAAACGGCTACGTCCATTTGTCCCTATTTTTTTATTTTTATTTAGATACACCAAATATTTGTGATTTTAAAGTCTAATAAGCAAATACTAGCAAACCATTTAAACTGCTCAATACATAGTGAACCGTCAAACAACTTTAATTTAAAATATGATTAACATGTGTAAAATCATATTATGCTTGTTATGTTTTATTGTATGTATACTAACATGTTTATCATCTAATGTACCAATCGTAAAAATTGACTCTGGTGAAATTTCTGGTGGATATGAATATACTTGGAATGGTAGAAAGTTATACTCTTTTTTGGGCATACCTTATGCAAGTCCTCCAGTGGAAAAATATCGTTTCAAGGTATTTAGCTCTTTAATTTTAGTACAAATTAATTTGAAATAATTTGAATTTTTATCAAAGGAACCTCAACCTCTTAAACCCTGGTCAGGCGTTTGGAACGCCACTCTTCCTGGAAGTCCTTGTATAGGAACTGACTATAGTTCCATAAATGAGAATATGATTGGTCAGGAAGATTGTTTATACCTCAATATTTATACACCAAAGGTAAAATATTTAAATTTATTATTTTATATTAACAAGTTGTCAACAATTTAATAATAAATAAATAAATAAATTAATTAATTAAATTTGTAAATTACAAATTAAAAATATAGTATCTGAGTTTTTTCGTTTCTTACGGGTTTTATTGATTGATAAATAAATATCAAAAATAAAATAAGAGTTTTTCTTAGAACTAATTATAAGTGTACACAATTAAAAACAACGATAAATCATTATAATTAATAAATAATTCTGATAGAATTTTGGTGTAAAATACTATATGAATAACTGAAGTACTTCTTTCATAATTGTAGTTAATATTCGTAAACATTTATATTATCATTAAATTATCATGGCCTATTTTAAAAATAAAAATGTTGTATAAATAAATGAATAAATCTACTCTAAATTTTAAACAAAATGTAATATCTTAGGGCCTTTATCTCTATATTTTTGTTTTAAATTTTCATATCATATAATAGAAAAGTGTTTGCTTAATTATAAGAAATATGAATGCGATCGCATTATAAAATCTAGTTTCGAGAAATTCTTAGTTTTATGAATTTATATTTCACATGCTCAGAAAAACAAATAACATTTTATAACTATTTAAACGAAATGTTTTATTGTAATAATGGTTCGTACTCATTACGGGAAAAGTGTTGACAGAATAAATTAGTAAAATAATCATTGTAAAACTAAATGAGTATCATTAATATTTTATTCAAGTTACCAGACTATACAAAGACTTCTGATTTAATGAATGTAGTAGTGTTCATACATGGTGGAGCATTTATTAGTGGCCAAGGCAGTATCTATGGTCCGCAATATCTTTTAGACAGTAACAATTTTGTGTTCGTAACAATAAATTACCGTTTGGGTGTTTTGGGATTTGCGTCTACTGGCGATCATGTTATACCCGGAAATAACGGATTGAAAGACCAAGTTTCAGCATTAAAATGGATACAACGAAACATCAAAGTTTTCGGTGGTGATCCTGATAGTGTCACCATTACCGGCATGTCAGCTGGTGCAAGCTCCGTTCATTATCATTTGATTTCACCCATGTCACGTGGTAAGAATTATGATTATTGTATAACTTTCTGACGTTATGCGTCCTGTCCCACCATTAATGATTTTATACTATTATCTTATTATTATTGCATACCAAAGACTGGTTTGAATTAACCTTTACCGGTTTTCAAAAAATAATATAACTGTTCTGGTTTTAAAGACACTAATTTCAAACAATTTGAGTATCGGTTCCTGTTTTTAATAAAATATAATTTTATTTCTTACCTAGTAATATACCACAGAAGAACCAGAAAGGAAACTATAAAATATTTACATTGGTTCTTATGGCCGCCCAAAAAAAAGGCCCGACATTTTGAAATTTGCACAGGTAATACTAGTAAATACTAATAGGAAATTCCCATTATTCTATGAGATTTGGCCATACTGTTAATGAAACATGTTACTGATAATATTGATATTCTGTGAAATAAAACCTATTTTAAAGTTAAATAAGCACGATTTTTTGATTATTTTTAATTTTTTTCACACCACGAATTGCACGAACAAATTTACTTACAAAAAAAGTATGTACCATGTAAATATTACATAATATGATCAGAGTATATATTTTAATGAAATTGTTTAATGAATATTTAAAACTCTCAACAATAAAGTAAATCTTTACAAAATATACATGTTTATTTCATTTAATTTAATAATTCGAATACTAATTTTAAAATAACAATAAATAATACATCAAACTATTTACACAAAGTAATAATCATCACAAATATATATACAATAAATTACTTAATCGAGAATAGTAATACGTTTAATAGTAATTTATAATAATTGTTCTATAACTTACTTTCAAATAAATTTGGTACTGCATGAGGATAAAGCCTATTCTTTTGAAAGTTGCTAAACATATTATCCTCAAAATGAAGTGAACACAACTTATATATTTTTGCAAAATCACTAGTATCTGTGGTTGGTGAAAAAATCGGATTACATTTTTCAATCCACAGAGCACATCTTAAAAATCAAAAAAAAATAAATTATTATAAAAGTGATATTTAGAGCAAATATTTCTTACACTATAGGATCTTTAGGAAAATTGAAAAAACGATTTCTGATTTCCCACAGCATTCTTGTTATATACACATAATAGCAATCGAAAAGTGCACACTTAATACCACCAGCGGAACTTGTCATTTTGAAAATAACAATTTAAACTTTAAACAGTTGTGAAAAATGCAAAAAAAAACTGAGAAAAATTAGTAATAAACAGAAAACGTATGAGCAGAAAAAAAATGACAGTCTGGGGGACTTTAGATGTCAGTTTTATAATTACATTTTTATTAGGTTATAAAATTGTCTTCGTTCATGGATTAAATGAGATTCATTTCATGAAATTCTGGGGATAGAGCACAGGGCTAACAACTCTGCTTTGTAAAGACACATCCCTGATGTGTTAGAAATAATCGGTTTGCTAATAGAAAAAGTACGAATACCTCCAAAATTTTTATACTAGTATGACCAAATCTCATAGAATAATGCACATTTTCTTTTAGTTTGGTTACCTGTGCAAATTTCAAAATGTCGACAGTTTCCATTATGGTTGTTCTGTGAGTATATAATACGGAGCTATTGAATTGGCTCCCTAATTCAGGTAATTGTCATTAGTACGTATTTAATTGGCTCCCAAGATTTATGTATTGAGTCGGCTCTCTACACGTTTATTTTATAAATCTATTGGTTATCAAAATTGTTCGAAAAAAAAATTCAACTATACATTAAAAATATAAAAGTTGAAAAAGTACGCAACTGTAATATTTTTAGCGACACAGTGCCGATTAGTCTTGAAATTATCTAGTTGTTAATCCGATTACACATTAAACGGTCACAGCCTTAGACGTATTAATACAACCTATACTAAATAATATTAAAACCGTGCAGGTCAGTGAATATTTTTTTATGTATGCATTTTTATTTTTACTAAATATTTTGATGGCCTGTTTGTATTTTAAATTATTTTAATGTATAGTTGAAGTTATTTTAATTAAAGTTACGTACTTTTTGAACTTTTATGTTATGAGAACCACTTGTTGAAAATGATATTGAAAGCCAATTCAATATTGCCTGTCTTAGGAGCCAATTCAATGGTTATTCTAAAATATACCCGTTAATGTGTATTATAATAATTTATGATGTAATAGTAAAACAAAAACTGTTTTACAATATACTGATATCAATCAACGTAAACCCCTATGACACGTACAAAACACAGTAGTGCTATTGTAATATGGAAAATTACAGCCACCAAGATATAATTTTCGGTTATCGGAACGTTTCGCTTATGCATCGTTTGCCTTAATAATATACTAGCGGGTAGTATAGATGTACATTCAGTATAAAACTTGAGAGTGCTAAAATTATCCATCCCAAGGTGATCCGTGGGGAGCAAAGCCCTCCACAAACCCTCTACAACTGTAGTTCCTAACCTTTTTCATCCTATGCCCTCTAGTAAATTATAAAAAATGTCATCTCCCCCCCTAGGTGAATTTTTGTCGTGTGAATCAAACTTTGTACCTATCAATATTAAATATAAAATTATCATTTTCATTTTTTTTAAATGAAATCATATTATTATTTCAATTTACTCATGGCCGTATTCATAGTCAGTTCTTTAGAATAAGTATTGTTCAAGCAATACTTATGACTTAAATCAAATTCACAAACGATATTGATACTTAATAAAAGAAAAAGTACTAATTAAATACTCCATTTTTAAAAGTTTGATACCAACTATGCTTAAGAAGTACTTTTAATGATTACCTATCAAATAGTAATATAATTTCTATTTATTTTATTTCAATGCGTTAATTGGAAACACTTATTAAAATATACAAATTAAACAATAATATGGATGAATTTTTTAATTTAATTGACTTTTACGACCGAGTTGATATGAATGAACGTTTTCCTAAAAAATATGTGAGAGGTATACAAACTACCATTGATTATTAGAATGACAATGAATTCTTAAACAGATTCAGGTTTGTAGCATAATATTTTATAAAAATAAAACCAATATTTAATCAATTTAATGCATTTATAAATATTAAACCATTCACCATTGCTATGCACAATAATACTACGAATATATACATTTGAAATTTGGAATTTGTTATTTGACTACTTACCAACCTTATATTTTCTACTTAGATAATTATTAAATTAAGTTACCTATTTTAATTGTTTTTCTAAAGATTTTAAAAAATAATTAATAGGTACTATTACTACTATGATTATTTGTTATTTTTTTAATACAGGATTCAGACTGAAGGTACAATTTTAATATAAGAACTATTTGTGTTGTTATTATTAATACTTATTTTATATGCAATAGGTTTTAAATATATTTACTAAATAAATATTTAATTCAATTTGGTAGCTGTATTTTTATTTATTCATTCGAATGAGCAACAGGAACATGAGCTTTAGGTAATGAACCAATGGCGTACCGAGGAATTTTTTTTTAGGGGAGTCCAACATTTTTTATTTTATCTGTTCTCTAATTATAATTATAGTTTAATTCAATACCAACAAATTACTGTTGATAACTATAGTAATAGTCACAATAGTTATACACACATCACACATATTCTGCACAAAGGTTTACTATAGTAGGTAGTTTCTATAATTTGAAATCAATTTTTATTTGGTAGTAAAATGTTATAAAAAAATACATTATTTAATTAAAAATAATTAATAGCAGTATAAATAAATAAAAATAAATAAAAAGCAGTATAAATTAAACATGGTTTATACATTATAGGTATATTATATAATCTATAAACTTTGTATATTGAAGATAATGGAAAATTAAAATACACTATTTAGTTTCGCCCCCTTCCTCAAAAAAAAAAAAAGCCTCAACTCAAAGACGTTCTTGTTGTTAATAAGTTTTTGATAACTAATAAATATCTAACACTTAACAGATAAATTATCATCACTTGAAGTGTTAAATGTAAAATTAGACCTGATGGACAATTGAAATTTAATTTGGATTGTCTTCAGTCAAGTGATGATAATTTATCTGGTAAGTGTTAGATATTTATTAGTTATTTAAAAAATATTAATAAATTAAGCATCAATCAATTAAAACCTATTTAATATAATATATTATGGTAGATTTATACCACTTTACCAGTTTAATACGTGCTGTAACAATACAGTGTCATTCCTAAATTTGTTACTACACATTTGTAGTCTACTACTGTTCAATGTATGTGCTAAATATACAAAAATAGGCTCATACAATGTTTTTATAATTATTTTGATACATTAAAATGAAAATAATCATTCTTAAAAATAAAAATATAAAAATAAAATAAATCATGTTAGATGTTGGATGATAGGCCCTACCATTTAACTTGTTAATATAAAAGGCATTAAACATTGTACTACCTACTGAAGTTTTGGAAAATCTAGTGAATTCATTAATGTATGTATTCGTAGTATTATTATGCATAGCAATGGTGAATGGTTATTTTTCAATAATAAATTAATAATTTTTCCTAAAAACTAGTATATACATTATAAAATTTCAAAACCTTTGTTGAGACGCCGTTAACAAATTGCCGCCCCTAAAATTTTGCCGCCCGGTGCAGCTACCTCTTTGCTCCCTCCCCCTTAACCCGGAACTGATTGTAAATTATTATTTTGACACATTCAATATATATATATATATATATATATTTTATTATTTAAACGTGGAGGTACTTAGGTTTAGGAATTTTTCTTCCATAATAATTTGTTTGCAACTGATCCCCCCCCCCCCATAAAAAAGTTATGTATACGCCACTGGGTAATACCTCTCTTGTTCACCCCTTGAAATAAATACTGATTATTATGTATAGTTGTGTTTATTGTTTATGGTATATAATTTAATTATGTTATTATGTTGGTTGTTTAAAGGGTTATTTAATCGAGCAATACTTCAAAGTGGAAGTGCTTTTTGTAACTGGGCTTACACTGAAAATGTTGTTCAAAAGACTAAATTTGTTGCCAATATATTGGGATGCCAAACAAATAATTCGATGGATATTGTTAGATGCCTTCTTTCTAGACCTGGAAAATCTATAGCCGAATCTGTTTCACATTTCACGGTAAATATTTTAATTAAGTAATAAAAGAAAACAATAATTGGTAAATTGTTAATACTCGTAAATTAATATATAAATATATTTAATGTTTTATTTTTGTTTAAATCTACCATTATTTAATACTGTTTAGCAATGGAAAGGCAATCCTTTTACACCGTTTGGTCCAACTCTTGAATTCGAGGGAAAAGAAAAATTCTTACCCGACATCCCGGAGAAACTTGTTCCATATGACATACCAGTGCTCGTAAGCACTACACAAGATGAAGGACTTATTTTTATTGCTTTGAAGGAATTTATAGATGAACTAAATAGTAATTGGGATGAATGTATACCACACCTATTGGATTATAATTATACAATTTCAAATGAATATCTAAAAACTAAAGTTGCACAAGATATAAAAAAGTTCTATTTTGGCGATCAAATGGTATCCACGAAAACCATGAGTAACATTATAAAAGTATGTTTGCATTTACTTACAAAGAAGTATTACATATATAAAAGAGCGGGCAGGTGCAAGAGCGGATGTGATGTATAGAAAAATAGAATTATATTTTTTTTAGGGTAGAAATTTGGTTGGCTGATCATTTAAATTTATGGCAGGAGCGTCATTTCATATAATTTCATTAAATGCAAAACCAATATTGAAAATCAAAAGTAATATAAGGACTGTCCGGTTGTTACCCACTGTTGTTAGCGGGGCACAATTTCAATGAAAAACTGGGGGTACTGAAGCCCTTCTATCTTTTTCATGTTCCTTAATGATTATAGTCACCTGCAACCCGTATAATTTAACAGTTACTAATATTTTTGGTAAATATTTAAATATTTCCAAATTTAAATTGTTCACTTTGATTTTATATTTTTAGTACACCTATAACGAATTATCTGTTTGTAAACACAAATGTTTCATCACATGATCACTTTTAGATTTTGCCTGATACGAAGGATATTATGGTTTCATATTGATGTTTGTATTTTATTTTTTTAACACTTTTTCGGATAGAAATACTAGTCCAAAAGTTTTTTCTGGGAATTTTTTATATTTTAAATTGGAATGTGGTGATACTTTAGATAGATCATTTTCTTAAATCTTAATAGTTTTTCCAGGCGTGAGCAAAAAACTGTCCTGAAACGGTTAAAATATGCTGTAAATAAAACTTCCATTTTTCAGATTTTAGTTATTTAGTCATAATTCCTAAAGTAATGTGGCTAGAAACTTGAAACTTTTACCCTATAGCTAAGATATTTTTTTCGTATTTGATACAATTTTTAAAAAGCGCTTTTAAATTTAAATATACAACTTTAAAAATACCTAATTTTTTGAAAGTCATTATGTAATAAAATTTTTATTTTTGGATATTAAGTGAAAATTTAATAATTCTATATGAGAATTCTATATGCAATATAGAAATGAATAGACTTTCAAGAATACTTGTTACGATAGAACTGATTTTTATTAATACTTCTAATCAAATTAACATAGACAAGGTAAAAATAACGATAAAATATATAATCAGAGCTTTTATACTGAATGGCTGGATTCGTCTGAATTTGGTGCCGATCCTGAGCCCTTTTATATGCTTATGGTGTACTCTTTGTTTTACTACATGTCTTAGCTATTCACATTGCTTTTCCTCATATCACGTGTAAGATATTTTATAAGTTTCTGCGTATTAGTGGATATACTCATTTTTCATATTAATTTAACTATTACATTTTATTACATTTACAACATTATCAACGTCTATTTCTATTTTTTTTGGAATTGTCTTTATTATAACAAGTAATTTACAAGTATATGTTTTTGTAAGATTATGTTTGTGCGTGTAAATTGTGTTTTTCTCGGTAATTTTTATATTTAAATAAACAAAATATAAGGTACAAGTTTGATTTTATATGACAAATTGTTATTTTAGTAATATTTGCTTATTACATTACTTTTGAACATGTACATTATATTTTCCTCGACAATTTATGTATAGAAGAGTACAAGTTACACGGTTGTTTTTATTTGATATAATACATTTTAGTAATATGTGGCAATATTAGTAACATTTGGTATTACACCAGTTTCAGTTCTCTGTGATCAAAATTGACCGAGTTATTCATTCTATGAAATAATGTACATTTACACAAAAAGTGTGTTGATAACAATTCATGAGATGCATTTTCACATCCTTGCATCTCAAAAATGATCCTCTGATTTTCGGGATTTTATTTATACCTGCATGCCTAACTTAATCTTTTTTAGTGTAAAATACAAATAATTATTTCATGTTCTTATTTCTTCAGATGATTTCAGATAGATTGTTTGGATATGCTATAAGTAATGCTGCACAACATATAGCTTCAAAAAATTCCGCTTCCGTTTATTTTCATGAATTTGGATATAGCGGTAACTATTCTATTTTAGCTGATATAAATCCCAATTTTGATTCTCGAGGTTCAGGTAAAAAATATTTTATTCATAAATTGTTTGTATATTTGTATTAAACAACCCCGAACAGATATTAATTTCAAGTATAATTATGATTAGGAGTATGTCATGGCGATGAAACCATGTATGTAATAAGTATGGCCGGTAAAAATGTTCATCGCAATGAAAAAGATACAAATATGATGAAAACTATGGTTACTATTTGGGCATCCTTTATTAAAAATGGGTAACATTAAATTTATCGTTAAACTTACTTATTTTCAAACTTTTCATTGCAAATAAATTGTAAAGTAAAAATTCTAATTCTAAAATATATGATTGTTATTTTATACTGTTTAGAAAACCTTATATAGGGGACAAGGTAAATTGGTTGCCTGTTTCAAAAAACTTCAGAGATCCTTTAAGATACATTAAGATAACTCAAAATCAAACTTTTGAAGTTAAAGAACAACAAAACCACGGAAATTTATTATTTTGGAACAGTTTACCATTAAACGAATTTGATTTAATTAATATGAAAGAAGATAGAAGACATATTGAGTTATAAAAAACCGTGTAATCTAGCATAATATTTCTTTTTATTAAAAAATAAATAACTAGGAAACGGATTTTAATTTAGTACAATATTAAAAATATTTAAATATATATTTTTTTATTATTTCTTAAATATTTATTTATTATATTGAAATATTTAATTGAAAATAAGGTAGAAAATACTTTCGTTTATAAATAATACATAATACAAATTAATTATAAGGGCTAAATTACCTCTCCACATCAACGGAAGAGATAGGTGCATATTTCATACACGTTAATTATTATGGATTATATTCTATTTTTAAATTGTTTTTTGGAAATTTGTCTAATAATATATCCTTTATCGACATTTCAGCGTTAAATCCTGGAATTTTTCCCAATATGTCTTGTAATTTTAAATAAGTTAAAAATCCAATTTCTCCAGGAACACGTTCCAATTGCTTTATGACATTATCAATTATTTCTTATCTTTCGGTTAATAGTATCAAATAAGTAAAATAAAATAGTAAAAATAATCTTTAATTATTAATAAATATCCAAATGGAATATCTAAATATTTTGTGCTATGTAATTAAATTGTATGTAAAGATTTGAAAATAAATATCAGTATATTTTGTAAAAACTACATAATTAATTTAGATATTTCTGTTTATTTTATATTTTATACAAAAAAAAAAAAGTTGTTTAAGTGTAATAAATACATTAAGTGTATATATATTATAATAAGTTATTTATTTATTTTTCCACAGGAGTGGCAAATATTTTGAATATTAAGGTAGGCAGTGGCGGATCTACGAGGGTGGATATGGGGGATGGATCCCCCCTTGGGTCAAGAGTTAAAAACATTTTTTTTGCAACCAATTTAATTTTTGCATGCACAATTTAAATAAAAATGTGAGCATGTGTGCTCACGTTGTGTGATTTTCATATATTAAAATAAAAAAAATTATAGAAAATCATAGATTTTCATATATTAAATTAAATTTTTAAATTCTATTTAAATAAATATTTTCTGATCATAGTAAACAATTTTCCAAGATTTCTGACATTTTCTAGGGAGAGAATGTCCCGCCCTTGCCCCCCATATGGGCGCCTTTGGGTCTGAACAGTCTTGCCGTTTGGGGTTCCGCCGTGTCCGATTTTTTCGGTCGCCGATAAAACTCATAGTGTGATCCGGCACTCATCGAAAATCGATTAAAATTAATTCTAATAATAGAAACAATAATTATAAGAGTTTACGATAATGTTCTTATTTTTAACAGTGAAAAATATAATAACAACCGTAACTTTCGATCTTTGCAGAGTCGGTTTGGCCCATCCGAATACCTGGAAATTGCAGGGAGCTCTAAGATTTATTTTTAAAATAAGGGTCCAACCAGTAGCTGATCCAAAGTTTGAGAACTGTAGGTCAGGCTATTTCAAGAGGCCACTTATTAGAACTGAAAGTGGTTTATAAATGTATTCCTTGAAACAAAAAAACAATATGATCATATTATATTTGTTTATCAAGTTTATTCATAATTATCATTGTTAACTTTTATTTTATGGAATCCCTCTTAGGATCAAGTTTAGAGATATTTTATTTTAGTATACAATTAAACCAGTAATATTGGGGGGGGGAGGTCGAAACTGGGGCATTTGTCAGTTTAGTCTTAACTTCAACTTATATTCGACACATTTAAAAAATATAAATCTTCAAAAGGTCAATTTTTTTAACAAATATTAATTGTGGGCCAGCTGTCCTCTTAACCCCTTCTTAATCCCGCCCTGAACTTAAAGCAATCATGCTAACATGAAAAATCATAGTAATTATTTTCTTTAATTAAATTAAAATTATGTTATTATCTTAAATATTGTTGACGTGATTTAATAGAACAAGGTACCAAGTTGAGCACCGTCGATCTATATGATATAGCTAAAAAAAAAAAAAAAAATTGCCGGGACTATAAAATTATTAATAATACAAATTATTTCACTTTTTCTGGCTCTTTTGTTAACGACCTTGTAAATGCAATATTTTTTCTACCTGTTATTTATATTGAATATAGCTCAATACGAGTACTAACTATTGCACGTTAACATCCAACTGTCATTGGATTTTGTGCCACGTGATGCATGTCAACATTTTGTTATTTAAACTAATTATGCACACAATACAATAATCAGCCGCCCCACTCATCTGAACGTTCATAATACCTCATTTAAAGTTTTTTTCTCCTTCAATAAAACCACGTGAATAAAATACCTAAACGTTTTAGTAATGAAGTGTGTCATGTACTCCAATAAATATAATTGATTTAAAATAATTCGCAGTAACAATACATTAATCGCAGCGTAAAATCAAAGTGAGACCGGTTAATGAGTAGTATTGCATTATAGTTTAAAATAAAAGTACCTACTTGAATCAGTTTGACTTAGCTTAGGTAAGATAATAAAGTGTATAATCAACGAAGGCCGTCGAACGCTTTTCCTATAGACGTGAGTATGTATCGCAGTCGTTTAAGTGCAAACGGATACAATACATCTTTCGCGTACAGTGAACGTCGTGCGTCGATCCATGCGATTATATTTCTGTTTGTTAAAAAAGATTTCTATTGTACCATGAGATTGCTTTTCTTGTGTGTGGCCTTCGTCGTAACGCATTTAGCCTCGTGTGTAACGGCGGACCTGGATCTGGTATTGCTCCATACCAATGACATGCACAGCCGTTTTGACGAGACCGATATTTACTGCAACGAGTGTCGAGAAGATGACGCAGTTAAGGGTCAATGTTATGGTGGGTTCGCAAGGGTTGCACAAGTCGTAAAGGACGAGAAGAAAAAGGCAGAAGAAAAAAATCTGCCATCCCTATTCATGGTGGCCGGAGATACTTTTCAAGGCACTCCATACTTCTCGTTTTTCAAATGGCAGCCCGTAGTGGACTTCATAAAACAATTGCAACCAGATGTCATGGTAAATTAATTTGACTTGTCCATGAATAATTACATTATTTTCAAAATAAAATGACAACGAACTAAATGTTCTTTTGGTGTAACGGATAGATTTTTCTAATCCTTAGGGTTATTAATATCAAATTATTATGGAGACATTAAGGTGAATACATAATGTAACAATGCCGTGTGTATTAAAATCAAAGTTCCACATAAGAATAAAATATACAATATTAAACAGATATTACGTTCGTCAATTTATCAGAGATATCATAACTATACAAGTCCTAATATGCTGTTTCTTTTATGTTATTATCTATCTGAATATAGCTTTTAATATACTGCTGTGCAATATTATATACATTGAATTTGAAATTAAACACCTTCCATCCGGATTCTTAATAAAAGATAATAAATATAATATGACAATTACAATTATTTTTGATTAAAATAATACAACTTATAATCTGGATTATAATGGATTAGTAGTAATCCGGGTTAAATTTATTTTAATGATTATTCAATTTCCGATATAAATTGATTTGGATTCGGTACACAAAAATGGCGCCTACGACTGAAAGAATCTTCAGTTTCCTTTCTCTTACACTAGGATTTTCATAACAAGAAAAACAAAAGAAAAATGTAAGAAACTTAATAACTTTTAAAAAATTAGAGATAACAATAATGATTGGGTAATGAAGCATATTTGAATAAAATATTTGGCTATCAAGTATTAAAAACCGTTTTAAGGCTTTTTTTTTATCCTATTATCATTAAGATTATCAATATTATACTTAAAATCTATTTCATATTTACAAATAGTAATTGTAATAATTCTATAACTAATTATCTAAGGAAATTATTGATATCTACTAAAAGGTATGGGAATAATTTGGTAATTCAATGATTCTTTGATTTTTAGTGAAATGTAAAAAAAATCTTAAATTCATACCATCCCGATGATTTGTTTTAATTTGATAATATGTATATTTTTAATATTAATTTGCTTGCCTTCCAATGTAATACATTGATTTTATACTAGTACCTAATCTAGAATATTAATGTATTACATAAAATATAATTGCAAAACAAACAAAAGCAGATAAAATATTCTATTAGAGGTATATAAATAAAAAAAATAAATAAAAACCAAAGCTAATATTAAGAAATCCATTAAGTTTATTTTTTCTAAAAACAAATAAAAGTATTTAATATGAAAAAAGGTTATGGTAAAGCATACATGATAAAAATGAACCTAGATATTTATAAATTGTTTTCGATATATATATAATGTTGATTTGATTTAGATTAACTAAATATTAAATAAAACATTTATTAAATTACAGACTTTGGGAAATCATGAATTCGACGACGGTATTGATAGTCTTGTTTCGTATCTAAACGGAATTCAAGATATACCAACAGTAGTTTCAAATTTAAATATGACATTAGAACCAGATTTGGATAAATTCATAACGAGGTCATTTGTATTTGAGAAAAATAATACAAAAGTGGGAATCGTTGGATACTTGACAACGGATACTCCGGTGAATAATGGTTCATTTACGAGCTAGTTTTAATTATTTTATTACTTTTAAGTATATATTTTGTATTCTATTCATCTTTATAATCTTATTGAATTACTAATATAATTAATCAAAAAAATATTAGTAAATTATAAGGCATGAAGTAAGTATATTGACTTATTGTACAGTCTATACATAAATAAATTAAAATTTGAAGCAAAAGTAAATTAATTCACAATGGCCTATGTTGCTGAGGGTTATTCAAAAAAAAAAAAAAAAAAATAATTCAATTCAAAAATAAAATAATATGTACAGCTTACAAGGTTAATTAATTTGGTACACAATGCTAAGACCATTAATATTGGAAAACTTTAAGTAGTTGAATAGAAGTTATATATTTATAGAGATGCTTCTCATATTATGAACACTATATACTATGAATAATGTCAAAAATAACATAATGTCAAAAAAGCAAAATCTAAATAATATTGTTTCCAAATTACATTGTGTATAAAGTATCATACAATAAAACCACAATTGTATTATATTATAAATATTTCTATAGGTTTATAAAAATGCCAACGAATCATGGATTACTTATTTTTGTGTCACGACTCATTATTACTAATCGAAAAGTCCCTAGAAATTTCACACGGAAATCACGATGCATATTTCAAAAAAGTCATTAGAAATGCCTTATATATTATTTTAACACCATATAAAATTGTTCATAGCATTCGACATATTTTAGATACGATTAAATTTGATTTTTAGGATAATATATCCTATGATCACAACTTATAAATTATAATACAATGTATAAAACATGGTAAGCTAGGTAAAATATTAGATACTTATTTTTAAATTGTAATCAAACTTGTTTTTTCAAAGCATATATCCAGCACCGGGGCTGTTGAATTTTTAGATGAAGTTAAATCATTGAAGATCGAAACAAAGAAATTACGTGAAAGTGGCGTTAACATTATTATTGGTTTGGGTCATAGTGGTATCGAAATAGATAAAATAATTGCTAAGGAAGTGGAGGATATTGATCTAATTGTAGGTGGACATTCACATACTTTCTTGTACTCTGGTAAGTGTAATTAATAATATAATTAACTGATTTATATGACATTTTTATATTTACATATCGTCGGTTAAAAGGCTATTTTGTGTAAGCGACACATTTCATAATTTTCAGGAGGACCCAAAAATAATTTTTTCTTAATTTTTATTTTCAAAATGGTGTATCTTTTTTAGTTTTATAAATAGTCCTTCGATTTTTTTTTCACATATACCTATTTTATTAATATTAAAGATAAATTCAATTTCATAGGAATATATTAATTTTTTGATTCTTTTGTAAGTATCTGAATTATATTCTCGGTGTTTACCACATTTTAATTACCTAGCTTACTTGTACTTTGGTCGCTTATGTAATTTATTAAAAAAAAATGCTTCAAACGCCTTAAAAAAATGTATTAAGTGAAACAGACCCTCGTCATTATGAGTAATAAGTAAAAAGTTTTTCTTAATAAATTTGAATAAAATGAAATATTATTACAGGATTTATTACAAATTATTTTCCTTTTTTTTTTTATTAATAATATTGTTTTTACTAAAATAAAATATTAAAACAACATTGAATACAATAAAAAAATTATTTTTTATTATAATAACAATTATAATTAAAATGACAACACTTAAATATTATTACCTCATGTGGTCAACGTTTTCTTAATCAAATTTGATAATTATTTTATTATCATCATCAATATTACAAATTATAATTGTTATCATGAATTATTTGGAGATTTAAATCATAATTAATCAGCTCTTAAATTTTCAGTTGTCACAATCATTAAAATTACATTAAATTAACATGAAAATTTTTATCACTTACTTCATTTTTTTTCTTATTTATTAGATACCACTCATTTATTTACATAAAAAATATGCTGTATATGACGAATTAAATTGTTATAGACGACAATATAGCGTACATTATTAAAAAAAAGTTGGCCCCCCTAAAACAAAATAATTACGTCCTTACTGCTCACTCAGTTAATAAGAATGTCACCTACATCAAATATTGTCGTTTACACTACACTTTTTTCGTACCTGTCGTTTACAGCCAAAATGTAGATCATTGATAACTCATACAATTATGATACATTACAATGAAAAATATCTATAGATCCAGCAGTGCGTTGTCTAGATACCAAGTGTTGCTTACAGCAAATAGACTTTTAATCGATGATATGATTTGTAATGATTTTATTTAATTAACTTATGGTTAAAATTGGATAAATTTACTATAGTTCTACACCTATCATCTAGCATTATTGTGATTGGAAAAACTAAGAATTTTATGAGGGATATTAAAGTACAATGATAACTATCCTCCCCCCCCAATAAATCTGATCCTGTACTTATGGTATACATATATATATTTTAGTAAATTATAACGTTAAGTATATTATATTAATTTAAACAATTAAATAAAATAATAATTTTCTAAATGGTCGAGCTTAAAAGCTGAATTTATTGAATTTTAGATTTCAACTTATAAAATTCTTCCTCTCCCTCTTTATATCTTAACAATAATCAGAACCCGTCTAGGGGTTTTTAAACCAACAATGTAACGTAGTATCAAAGTTAAAATCAAAATTTTTAATTTTAATTGTTCAAATAAATTAATTTTTTCATCAAATTGATATATTTAGGCAAACCACCAAGCATTGAAAAACCATATGGAACATATCCGCTATATGTGACCAATGTCAAAAATAAGACCGTGCCAATATTACAAGTATACGCAAATACCAAGTACATAGGCAAAGTTGATATACACTTTAACTCAAATGGTGATTTAGTTAGTATCAATGGTTCACCAATATTATTGAATAATGAAATAAAACAAGGTAAATAAACACACATTAATTTTAAATAGCATACTCCAACTTAAAAAAAAATGTATGATAATATAGATCCATCTATGTTGACTGTCATTGATAAATGGAAACCGTCGGTTACTAAAATTACAAACGTTACTGTTGGACGTACAACTGTTGAGTTGTTAAATAATTGTCATCTTATGGAATGCAATATAGGAAACCTCATAGCTGATTCATTTGTATACTATGTAAGTATATTTAAATGTGAAAATTATTTTATTCATAACATTATATTTTTAAGAACGTGTTGAAAAAAAAAAATTACGACGAGTATTGGACTGATGCACCAATAGGGGTCATTCAATCCGGAAGTATTCGAACTACACTAAATGAAACTGATCATGACGGTAACATTATTTCAAATAATAAAAGATGAAAACGCTATATTAAAGTATTCTGAATAACTACATTTGATTTGTTAAATTAGTTATGAATTGAAATTAATTAGATAGTACTTTAATAAAATGTTTAAGATTTTATACAAAGAACAAAATTTCAAACTTAAAAAAACAATTATATTATAGAGTTAAGGTTTGATTTACCTTATGAAAAATAAACATATTTCCCGGTATACAAGAGGCTATTTTTTCAATTTTGAGTAGCAAGCTTGGTATTTCAGTATCTATCCTAGCTTACCATCCTGGCTTGACATAGACTAGAATAATTTTTACGGTGTTAAAAAAAATGCCAGTATTGCATTGAGTTTTGCTAACAATTCTAACGATTATTAGGGAATTAAGACCTTGTTACTTTTTAAATTCATGTCAACATTTGAAAATATGTTGCAATTAATTTTTAATATTATTAAAAACCATTTTTATGCTAAGTGTATTAAACTCAATACTAATTTTTTGAAGTGATGAATCACGCATACACTTGTTTTTGTAAGATGGGATGCTAGTATTCCACAGACATTCTTCATCGCGATACAATTGTACAAATTTTAAATTACTACCGATATTTAATTTCGACAGTTTTAACGTACAATAACTAACAACAGTATCAATTCACATCCCACATACAAGGTGGCGAAAATAAAAATAAACTTTCAAAATTAAGCTCTTGCCAATCATATATTAATATTGCCATTTATACAAAGATAATATTGTAAATTCAGTGGTGAGAAATGTTTCTTGGTTAGCTTGATAGTGGCTCATATATATATTGATACAACCTTGCTATTATAAAAATAAAGCCAGATCTCTTTACTTGAAGCTAAAATTATTAGTTTTCTAGCTTATATTTCCTAATTATCCTAGTTTAAAAAATAATCTTGGATATCCTGGGTTGATACAACATTTAAGTGGCATTAGTGTTTTTTCACCTAAAGGCTTGGTGGGTTGCCATTATCAACATTTTGTATAATATAAATTAAATTATATGTTCAATTCTTTACGCAATAAAAAAAATAATTCATTATAATTCTATTTAGAATTCAAGTTTTGTAGTTTAAATTTAATTACTAAGCTACAAATAATAATTGGTTTTAGATTAATAATATGCTATACTTTATTGTTATCTAGGATATATTACTTTGGGACAGTTAATCAATGTCTCTCCGTTTGCCAATAAACTGGTCAAAGTTACAATTTCTGGCGCTAGTCTTTTAGAAGCATTTGAACACAGTGTTTTCAATTACGTATTGCATAATGGTGGACGTAATTTTTTACAAGTATCTGGTAAGAAGAAAGAATAAAACATTTTATTTAAATCTTTTTTAATCTGATACAAAAAAAATCATATTTTTTTTAGAAAATATGTAGGACATTTTTTTAAGGAATGTTTTTAAAATTTTGCAATAGAATTTTTTTGAAAAACATTTCGATTTATTATTAATCTGATACTATTGATTTAAAACAAATAGAGATTAATAAGATAAGATAAATTAGTTAGACGTTGACTTTGTTTGTTAATATATTTATGAAGAAGTTTACCAACATTTTACATTGTCTTTTCGCTTAGATTATTTGAATTTCAATTACATGACATATAATTTAAATTAATTGTATTGTACATTATTATTATTATTATTACTCTATATTGTATAAGTTATAAGTTATAAACAATTTTCTATTTATGTTTTACGAAAACTAAATTTTTATATTGATTATAAATTTGCAGGAATATTTATATTATATTTATTAATTGTTAATTATAATAATATTTGTGAGTTTAAATTAAGGTTTATATATTATTTAAAAGTATAATTGAAGTATCTAATTGTTTTAATTTTTCAATATTTAATGCTTAAACTAAAATAAATATTTTCCAGGTGTTTTGGTTGAATTTGATTTGAGTCAAAAACCAGGTCATCGAGTCTCTTCATTATATCTTCGATGCGGTGATTGTAGCGTTCCTAAATTTGATCCCGTGATATTGACTGCCAATTATACTTTAGTGATATCTGATTATTTGACCGATGGTGGGGATAATTTTAATGCCTTTAAGAAAACAGTAAAGAAAAACGAAATACTAAGTAAGTAAAAATATAATCATAAAGAATAATTATATATTATCACTTAAATTTTTTGACTTTAAAACTAAAATTTTTTGAAACTTTAACAAGGTAATTAGGTAATTTATTTTAATTCAGTCATTAAAATAGTAAACTAGTATATTTGAAATGTATAGGCGTTGAGGATTATAATGCAACTGCAATGTATATGGAGTCTATTAGTCCAATAACAATCGGAATAGAAAACAGAATTATCATAAAAACATCAAATTCGAAAGCATCCAATACGACCACAAAAAATTATCAATTATTTTTATTTGTTATGTCTGTAATAATATATTATAATTTATAAATTTAAAAAATGTAATCATTATATTTTCATTAATTTAAAAAATATTTTTTGTTTACATCTTTGTAATATATCATTTTAAAATTTCAAAAAGACTGCATCTGCTATCATTATAAATAAAATTTATATTTTTTAACCTGTTGAAGACTCATAATAATTGTATATAATAAATGTTTTATATAATTTAATTTAATAAAAATATTTTACCAATTATATTAATATACTATGTATTAGTAAATTATTTATTAAAATAATGAAATTTAAATAGTTTATTAAAAAGTATAAATTTTTTATGATCTGGAATATTATCTATAGCAAAAACATCCTGTAAACTAGTGGTCTATACATTTCCTGTGGTTAAAAAAATCGTAATACGCTTGTTTTACTATGGACGAAGCAAATATTTATTTATCAGTTGGATATACTGATTTTCAGTATTGTGCAATAGCAGTGGTGGTGTCAAGTATTTTTTAACCATGTTATGCATTTATTAAGTTCATGGATAGAAGACAAATCAGTTTGAAAGAACATTTTTTATTTAAGAGCAATTGGTTTAATAATAGTTAAAACTTACTTTGAAGATATCAAAATATTATTAAAGTTAATATTTATAGTAAGCTTAAATGAAACAGAAGGTGTAGATAAGAATGGTCAATTGACAAAATGTGAAATGGCTCAAACCTGCCTAAAACATCGGATAGCGACGCATACTACCGATGTTGAAGACATTAATGAAAAAATAAAAAATAAAGAAGACCATAATGATATGATATACACACATTTTCACGAGAAAATTACTAATACAACAATATTTCAACAAATATTAGATATTTACAAGTGTTGTATCACAAATAGTAATCAACAAAGTAATTATGGTGATCATGATAATTTACAATTTAGTCCAGGAATCGCGAAAAAATTATTATACTTTAGTAAACTTCTTTCATGTTGGTCTGCTGTGATGGTCCTAATATTCAATTTTGGAAATCCATCATAGTCAAGTGCGACGTCTGAAAGCTTATTTAATGAGTTCGTCATTATCCACATAAACTCAATAATTGGTTCGATAAATCTAATTGGCACAAAAATGTATCTTGAAAAAAAAAAGAATATAAGAAAGTTAAAATAAATACTAACGATTTAATTACATCAAAAATATTTAAAGAAACCGAGAGCATTCATGAATATGAGAACAATGATGGTTCCTAAATTGAGTATGAAAATTGGATGGGCTTAAGACTAGACAAGTATGAACAAAATAATAAAAAATGTAATTACTTGGATATAGATACGAACATTTTACATTATAATGATAACTCTTAAATAAAAAGTCCAGTTATAGGATTATTAAAAAATAGAAATTTGTCTAATTTAAAGTCAATTATCATAGAAAATTGTTATTTCCTTACAAATACTTGTACTTTTGATAGCGTAACACAAGTAATGATAACTGCATTTGCCGATAATATTTACTATGCCGATTTCATAAATAAAAATAAAATTTATGTGCTTTTTGAAATAATATCAAACATGTTAAGAGATGGCATTAAAATACAAACATATCGAAAAAGATCTATATTATGTAAAAATATTATTTTACCATATCAATCCACTTATTAATCCGCCAAGAGGCTTTATAAAAATTAACTGTGCATACACAATTCAATTTATAACTGAAAAGTTATTTACAAATTTTCCATCTATAAGAGAGACTATTCTATGCTCCGATTGCAGCTTCATATTAAATAGAAATAGACCAATTATAATTGCCAATTTACCAAACGAAACATTTGAATTTCTTTTAGATAGTTTAGATGCTATTATTTCAAATCGTGTAAGTACAAATATATGTGAGTCTTGTTCCAAAGGAAAATTGGTGAAAAATTATGAATTAGGAGAACACATTTTCATCGAACCAGTGATAAACACAGGTAATATTAAAACTGACAATACCAATTTGGATTTACTAGTTGTATTAAATAATATTCCAAAAAGGATCAATATACAGAGCAAAATTTTAATATCAGAGGAATAATTTAGTTTATACCACCAGTAACAAAAAATATATATTCAATTGGACATTTCATTGCATATACTTATAGACATTAGGGCCGTTTTTAGGAATTTGACACCAGGGACAACAAAAAAAAAAAACGCCTCATTATACCAAATATAAATTTAATGTAATTTAAAAACAATAAGTATATTGTATATACATATATTTTTATTATGTAAGTATATTATATTTGTGTATATCAACAATACATTTAACTTTTTTTTCTGGATTGTGGCTCGGTAAAAAATTAGCACCCTCTCATATTTAGCCGCCTGACAAAACAGTACCTTAGAGCTCCACACTAAATACGGCCCTGGACGACATATAGATAGTTGGAAAAAAAATTATGACTTAGGAAATTTAATATGGAGTGAACGGCAAAAGACTCGAGCGAATAATGGTCAAATATTAATTTATACAGTTTTAAGGTAAAACAATTCTTAAATTAATAAAATATCAAAATGTGAATAAGTGTAATTGGTTTTTAAATCGCTAATTAAACCTTTTTGTTATTATAAGTAAGCTTTTTATTCATTGTATATACACAGATATCATTATTGTTTGTTACTTATTAGTTTTTATTATAATACAGAATTTAATACAATGTTTTATTTATGAAAGAATATTTTAAAATTTAAACAGCAGTTAGATGTTAAGTTTAGATTGAGTTTAGATAACTCGTCAGTAGATACAATACAAATTTTAAGAGTTGAGAGCAGTTGTCCGAAAAATGATAAGAACCAGAATCGAAAACGGAGGCATAAAATGTGTTGCCAACATAAAATTTCTAAAAATTATATTATAAAATTATTTTTTTGTTTAAGCAATTATACTGTTTAATTTGATTGATAATAATTATATTTTTTGATAATAATAACATAATTAGTTACATATAAAATAAAAATAGGTATCAATTATATGAAATAATTATAAATTTTTGAATACTTATTTTTCACTACATACTTAAAACTAAAACATGTAATATTTTATACTATTTACATACTAGTACATAGAAAATTAAAAAAAATATGAAAAACATATATATTTTACAAAAGATTTACATACAATTAAATATAAAGCTAGATATTTATAAACATACATGATATATTACATAGATTTATAACATGGATATATTTTTTAGATGGATATTAAGAAGAATTTCAAGAACAGAAAAGCATTACCCTTCTCTAATTACATTGGTTACTAAAATAATACAAGTTAAAGTTTTAACTCGAAAACATATCCATGATTTAATGTTATATCTACATAATTATATGTTACCATAGTTGTTTAAAATTTGATCTATTTTTATTGAAAATATACAAACAAAAAAGTAAAAAAAGAATAAAAAGTTTTGTTGAAAATATACAAACAAAATAATGAAAAAAATTAACATTTTTGTTTATTTATGAATTTATTTTCAACTAATGATAATTATAATAAAAATATAACAGTAATATAATAAAAAATGGTATATAAATAAATTAGAATAAATGATTAGTAATAATAAATTTCGATACTTGATTATAATAAATACACATTTACATAAAATATAATAAATATTTAATTATTTAGATATATTTCCATCAAAGGGAAGAGGGCACAAATTACGCACGCTCGTGTTATGCAACCATTTAACAATTTAACCTCAGCTGAACGAATGATGTTGTCGGAACCTCGTTGAACCTTCGTCACACGACCCAGCTTCCAATTTAAGGGAGGAATGTTTTCGTCTTTAACCAATACTACAGTACCCACATCTAACTTAGATCCCTTCTCACCTGCCCACCTTTTTCTCTCCTGCAGTTGATTTAAATATTCACGACTCCATTTTTTCCAAATTATTTGACAATAATGACTTAACCTACGCCATCGCGTCAATCTGTTGGTTTTAACGTCAGATATGTCAGGTTCGGGAATTGCTAGCAGAGAGTCACCTATTAGGAAATGACCGGGTGTTGAGTTTTAATACTCCTGAGTCATTAGGATCAGTAGAGAGAGGTGTAATAGGACGGGAATTTAAACATGCTTCGGCGCGCGTGAGAATGGTATTAAATTCTTCATATGTTAAATGAGTGTCACCTAACGTCTTGCGTACTATATTCTTCATAGATTTCACAGCGGCTTCCCATAATCCACCAAAATGCGGGGAGCGCGCGGGTATAAATTTCCACTGCACACCATTGTTCGTCAAGAACTCATCTAACTTTGATTTATGTTTTTCGACTTGAAATATATCGTACCATTCTTTTAATTTATTATTTGCCCCGGCAAAGTTGGTAGCATTATCGGAATATATCACACTACTTTTACCTCGTCTGTCAAAAAAACGGTTTAGCGCTGCAATGAAGGATTGTGTAGATAAATCACTAACCAATTCTAAATGAGTCGCCTTGGTTGTAAAACATACAAAAATGCTTACATATCCTTTGCTTAAAAGAGCATTGCGACGTAAACTAGATTTAATCAAAAATGGACCAGCAAAATCAATTCCACATTTTAGGAACGCTCGAGACGGTTCTACGCGATCTGCGGGTAGTTGTCCCATAATTGGTTGTACGACAATCGGTTTATACTTAAAACATTTCACATATTTATGTACTGTACTTCGTGCTATGTTTCTACCATTTAACGGCCAATATTGTAATCGAATCGTAGATAAAGTCGCTTGTGGGCCCCCGTGCATGCATCTTTCGTGCTCGTGTTCAAATAATAAACGTGTAAAATGATCATCTGCGGGTAAGACAATTGGGTGTCGTTGATAAATGTCTATCGAAGCGGCGTTCTTCAAACGACCTCCAACCTTTATCAAACCGTCGTTATCTATAAATGGACACAGACGAAACAATTTACTAGACGAGCTTACGTTTTTAAATTTTATTAAATCTTTTATTTCATGATGGAATGATCTTTTTTGAACACATCGTATTATAACAATACGCGCGTATTTAATTTCTTCCAAGCTAAGCATTCCTGTTAACCTTGAATTTGTGTTTAATGCATTGTACCGAAAACGTAAACAGTAAGCGGTTACGTGAATTAATTTGTTTATAGACGAATAATGATTAATTAAGGAAAAAGAATCATTTATAGTGTTTGTACATACATTAGATATCGTTATCTCTCGGGCTTCGGGTATTATTAATTTTGTTGAATTCGAAGACGTCTTTTGTACAGGATACTCTATTTCATTTTTAATTAACCATTTAGGACCAAACCACCATAATGATAATGAACTTAATTTCGACGGACAACAACCACGCGAAATAATATCAGCGGGATTTTCTTTGGTGTCGACGTGTGACCAATCCGCAATAGAAGTTCGTTCCTGAATTTCCCCAACCCGATGGGCTACAAAGATTTTCCATTTGGTAAAGGGGGAAGTAATCTATGATAAAACAATATTCGAATCAGACCAAAAATAACTTTTACTAATTTTCAAGTTTAATTTTGGGACTATTTTACTCGATAATCTTGACAATAAAAGCGCCGCGCATAGTTCTAATCGAGGTAAAGATATGATCTTTAATGGTGCCACCTTGGATTTTGCACATATTAATTTTGAAGTGTGCACACCATCTGCATTTGTACATCGTAAATATAAACAACAACCATACGCATTGATGCTCGCATCTGCGAATCCGTGAATTTGGATATTTACGATATCGTTTTTACACGTAATTTGTCGAGGTATAATTAAGTTATTTAATACACACAAAGAGTTTCTATAGTTAATCCATTGTTCTTGAATTTCGCTCGGAAGCGGTTCGTCCCACTGTATTTTTAATCGCCACAACTGCTGTAACATCAACTTGGCACGTATAATAGCGGGACCTACTAGTCCTAATGGATCAAATAAGCATGCGATTACCGATAAGATTTCGCGTTTCGTAATTCGGCCTATGATTGTAAAATTATTTTGTTGCACTTTAAATTGTAACGTATCAGTGGTTGAGTTCCAAATCAATCCAAGAACCTTTGTTATCGAATTATCATCGCTAATGAGGACCGTGTCGTTACTATCTTGTTTTATTGACATAACATCTTTAATTAACTTGTCATTATTCGAATTCCACTTTCGCAATTCTAAACCAGCGGATTGCATTGTCTTAATTAGACCATCTCGTAATTGAACAGCTGATTCATAAGAATTAGTACCGCCTAAGAAATCATCCATATAGAAGTCGCGCTTTATAGCCGCTGCTATTATAGGGTCGACATTTTGCGAATCGGCTAGTTTATGTAAGCATCCAGTAGCCAAAAAAGACGCGGGAACGGTTCCGTAAGTAACCGTGTTAAGTTGAAAAATTTTAATATTTTCCTGTGGATTTGTGCGCCACAATATTCGTTGAAATATTCTATGAGCTTCTGTTACCCAAAACTGTCTGTACATTTTCGTAATATCTGCGGACAATACGAAATTATGTGTTCGGAAACGAGCGAGTATATATATCAAATCGTCTTGCAAAATCGGTCCTTTTAACAATGTATCGTTTAAACTAACACCGTTACTAGTCTTGCATGAAGCGTCAAAAACAACACGAAGTCGAGTCGACGTACTTGCTTCTTTGAAAACCGCATGATGTAGTAAATAATATGCTTATTTTTTATCGTTAATTGGGTCGTCTTGTACTCGTTCCATGTGTCCTAAACTTATATACTCATTCATAAAATGTGTATATTCATTTTTTAATCTTGCATTGTTTGAAAAATGACTTTCCAGATTTAATAGATGACGCTTAGCGATATTGTAAGACTCGCCTAAGCGTAATGAATTTTCACGAAATGGTAAATGTACGGTAAATCGACCATCTGGTTCTCTTATCACCGTTTTGTCAAAAAAACTTTTGCATGTCTTTTCTTCAATAGTATAGGTGTTATCTCCTTCAAATTCTTCTACACGCCAAAATCGTGGTAACATATTTTCTAATGTCAAGTCGGTATGTGTCAACGCAGTGTGACATATACTGTTACTTAACGGTTCAACCATATGATTGTACATTTGTATAGGCCCCGATACTACCCATCCGAGCTTTGTCTCTTGAAATATTGGACCGTTTGGTGCAGGTGTAATTCGACGTTCACCCATTAAATCGTAGAAATGTGTCGCGCCTATTAATAAATCAACTTTCTGTGGAGACCAGAATAGTGGGTCAGCTAAACTTACGTTCTGCGGTACTTGACCTGTATTATATATGTGTTTCGCCGGTATATCGTTCGTAATCTTCGACACTACTAACATTTTTAAGGTAATACTATAGTCGTTAAATTTTGATTTCATTTGAGCGATAACGTACGAATGGGCATGCTGTACTGTTGTTTCGATACCACTAATTTGATGATTAGTTTTCGTTCTTTTTAATTTTATGCATTGTACCAATTCTTCAGTAATGAAATTACTTTGTGAACCGGAATCTAATAATGCACGACATAATGACGAACTTTTATTTTCGCCAAATGCTCGTACGATCGCTGTCGATAAAAGTACCTGTTCGTGGTTTTTGTCATGCGAATGCGCGTTTATCGTGGAATTTCCGTCGATTTGAGTTGAAGAGGGATTTGATTTTTCTTCCGTTGTCGATCTCGCATTATTATTAATTTTATGTTGGACAATATGTAGTAATGTATTATGTGTTTTTCCGCATTTGAAACAATTTCGGGATAACCACCTTTTTTTTGAATCATGTTTACGTAAACATAATTTACACAATTCAATTTCATTAACCTTTTTAATACGATCGTTTATTGATAGTGCCAAAAACGTGGGACATTTGTAAATAGTATGTTTTAAGTAACATATAAAACAGCTTACTTCGGCGGTGGTTGTGAACGCCATAGAAGTTGTGCGAGTTTTATTGTGACTATTTTTTCGATTAACTTTGTCTTTAATTTCCGATGTCGATATAGTATTTATATTATTTATAAGATTTTTCGACGATTCTACTGCTTCTAGAATCTGTGCACGATCGTTTAAAAATATCATTAGATCTTCGATCTTTGGAATTTCGGTTTTTGGCGATTTCACCTCCCATTTAGTGAGCGTGTTTGAGTCTAATTTTGAACATATTATGTGTATTAGTAGCGGACCCCAATCGGTTGGTCGTTGCTTTAACGCTTCGAGTGCCGATATATGAGCACGCAGTGAATCCGAAAACATTCGCAAACTATCCGATGAATTATCTTTAACTACGTTTAACTCACAAATATCTTTTACATGACATTGAATTAATAATTTTTCATTATTGTAACGCGCAGTTAACGTTTTCCAGGCGTGTTCGTAATTTAAAGCCGTAGTTTCAAAATTTTTTATGCAATTTGCTGCATCACCGTTAAGAGAAGAACGTAAATAAAAGAATTTTTGAATTGATGTTAAATTACTATTTGTGTGAATTAATGCAGTAAAAATATCTTTAAACGGTACCCAGTCATTATAATTACCATTAAATACTGGTATATTTAACGCTGCCAATTTTATGATCGAAGATGTCGAATTAATGTTCTCTCCGTTATTCGAGTTACGGAATGATGTTTCGTTTTGGTTTGCTCTAATAGAACTAATTTTTTGTTCGGCCTCCGCAACCGTCTCAAAAAATAAATTTTCAAAATCAATTCTATATTGTGAATGATCTGTTATGCCAATACTATTTTCTAATTCTTCAATCGCTGTTTGCACTAACTCGAAGTTTTGCCAAGCTTCTTCTATTTTGAGCTGACGTGGTGGTATTTGTTTTGTGTCGCAATCGGGTGATTTCAGATAATTTTGAAACCGAGTTACTATAGCCTTTATTTGGCCGCGTCGCGCAATTAATGTATTTATATCGGGTTCTCCCATCCTAATCAGATGACGGTACTACAATATGAAATAGGAAAAGGAACTAAAAGAAATTATGAAATGTGACTCTCTTACCTTGACACTTGGCGTTTCGGTTTTTGTCTGATGGTGGGCTGGTTTGCTGACCTTATACTTTGGATTTTCTGCACAGCAATAACAGTATTACTCATACAAATTTTCTAGCGATAAACGAAGTCAATCGACGGGATGTTAATTAACTATAGACGCACTTTCCTGGATTTGCGGACGACACGCTAGATTCGGTACGATATGTCGATACGCTGAATATACTATACTTAAAAAACAACAACAAAATAAAACGCACTTTTTTTTTACAATTACTCGTTCAAATCCGGGTCGATGGACCAAATGTTGGTTTGGGTTAAAATTACACCGGTTATAAAATTTTATATTAATGGACTGTATGATGTATAATAAATAAATGATTTTGTTGCGTTATGAAATAATATATTTAATTTGAATTTTGTTAAAAAGCTTTTTTATTCCATGTGCGGAGTCGGCACTTTTACAATTTAAAATACTTTTTTCCGACTGAATACAATAAAATCAAAAGCCCGTCGGTACAATAGACCGGTTAGGCCGATAACGATACCGACGCGGACACAATCGATAACATAACACACATATCATATAATTTGACAATACTGAACATTGATATCTATAGGCAACAGTGGGTATAAATAAGTGTATTATTTGTAATTTTGTGATGCAACAAATAGTTTAAAATTTTTATTTTTTAATAGATTTTCATTGGTTAAGTTATATTTTTGTATCAAATACAATTCTATGTGTAAATTATAGTAATGTAAAATGTAAAATATTATACTATATGTAATATTATACACAGACACAAACATTTTTTTCCTGCGAAGATCCATTCGTAGTTGGAGACTGTGGATGTGGAGGTGTGGGGTTGCGGAGGCAGTGGATGTGGTAGTGAAGGGTCGCGGAGGCAAAGGTGGTTGATGTGGTGGTTAAAGGTCACGGGACACGGTGGCAGTGGCGACGGCAGTGGTGGGTCGCGGGCTCGGCGTCCATGGAGGTGGTTGTGAGTTCGAGGGGGAAACGAAGGCGGTTCTAGAATATATTAAATCATCCTACTTTTATAGTCGACGAAGCTTATCGAACGTTTTTCCTACAGGCGAGAGTGTGTATCGCAGTCGTTTAAGTGCAAACGGATACAATACATCTTTCATGTACAGTGAACGTCGTGCGTCGATCTATACGATTATATTTCTGTTCGTTAAAAAAAATTTTTATCATAACCATGAAATTGCTTTTCTTGTTTGTGGCCCTCTTCATGGCGCATTTAGCCGTGTTTGTAACGGCAGACCTAGATCTGGTATTGCTCCACACCAACGACATGCACAGCCGTTTTGATGAGACCGATATTTACTGTAACGAATGTCGCAAAAACGATGCGGTTAATGGTCGATGTTATGGTGGGTTCGCAAGGGTTGCTCAAGTTGTAAAGGACGAAAAGAAAAAGGCAGAAGAAAAAAATCTGACGTCCCTATTCATAGTGGCTGGAGATACTTTTCAAGGCACACCATACTTCACATTTTTCAAATGGCAGGCCGTAGTAGATTTCATAAAACAATTGCAACCTGATGTTATGGTAAATTAATTTGACTTGTCCGTGAACAATTACATTATTTTCAAAATAAAATTACAACAAACTAAAAGTTCTTTTGTTGTAACGAATAGATTTTTCTGATCCTTAGGATTATTAATATCAAATTATTATGGATACATTTAGGTGAACGCATAATGTATCAATGCCGTAAGTATTAAAATCAATGTACCACGTAAGAATAAAATGTACAATATTCAACAGACTACTACTGAAAATTTGAGACGTTATTAAATATTCGTTAATTTATCAGAGATATCGTAACTATACAAGTCCATATATGCTGTTTCTTTTAAGTTATCTATCTGACTATAGCTTTTAATATACTGCAGTGCAATATATTGAATTTCAAATCGAATATCTTCCATCCGGATTCTTGGATCCAATACGGCAATTGGAATTCGGAATTCATGATAATTTGCGTTTCGTGAGTTTACATTTTAGAATATCTATAGATCAGTGGTCAGCAACGTTTTTGGACACTCAGGCCACATTCGTAAATTAAAAAAGGTTCACAGGCAAGACAATATAAAGAATTGACATGATATTCAATTAAATATTCTAGTTTTAGAATTGAATGCGAGTTTTAATCAATTGACATGTGGGCAGGATGCGGGCCTGGATACATTAATCTATGAGCCAACCACTACTATAGATAATAAATATAATATAACAATTACAATTATTTTAGATTCAAATAATACAACTTATAATCATATAAAATCTTTTATAAATAAATTAGTTATTATGTGCTTATAAACCTTTTATAATCTGGATTATAGTGTATTAGTAGTTATAATCTAGGTTAAACTGATTTTAATGTTTGTTCAAATTCCGACATGAATTGATTTGGATTCGGTACTCAGAAATGGCGCCTATGACTGAAAGAATCTTCAGTTGACTTTCCCTGCATTTTATACTAGGATTTTCATAACAAGAAAAACAAAAGAAAAGTTTAAAAAACTTAATAACTTTTAAAAATCAGAAATAACAATTATTATTGGGTAGTTATGCCTATTTGAATAAAATATTTGGACATCAAGTATATAAATCGTTTTTGGCTTTTTTATTTTATTATCATTAAGATTATCAATATTATACTTAAAATCTAATTCATATTTACAAATAGTAATTGTAATAATTATATACCTAATTAACTAAGAAAATTATTGATAATTACTAAAAGGCATGGGAAAAATTTGGTAATTCAATAATTCTTTAATTTTTAGTCTAAGTGAAGTGTAAGAAAAATCTTCAACGCATATCATCTCGATGGTTTGTTTTAATTTGATAATATGTATATTTTTAATATTAATTTGCTTGCCTTCAACTATTTTAAATGTATACTATTACAATAGAACCTTGATTATCCAAACCTCTGTTATACGAACCTTATCCGAACGATATTTCGTTTCAATTCATGTATCCGAAAATCAATGCATAAAATATCACAACGTACACTCCTGGTCACAGTTTAATATTAGTACGTTTACCTTAACGACGGCCACGTGCGTCTAGCTTATCAATACATACCCAACCCAAATATACAACCCAAATTCATTATATACCTAATCAGTAATAACATAATATGTGATTTGTAATAATATATTTTTTTTTAATTTCTCCTATTCGAATTGGGCGTGGTCCCATTTACTTCGGATAATCAAGGTTTTACTATATTAATAAATGTTACTTTTATATATTTTAATTTATATCTATCATATTTATCTATATTAAAAAATTTGTCTTTATCGAATTGCCGTCAGGCATAGAGAAATAAATAATAAAAAATAAGCAAGTTGATTTTATACTTAATTTATATTTCACAATATTTGTTATGTACCTAATCTAGAATATTAATGTATAAAATAAACAATAATTGCAAAACAAACAAAAGCAGATAAAATATTCTAATAGAAGTATATTGATAAAAAAAACTAGAGCTAATACTAAAGAAATCAATTAAATTTATTTATTCTTAAAACAAATCAAAGTAAAAGGTGTTATAATAAATAAAAGTGCTTAAATTAATTTATGCAAATATGAAAAAAGGTTATGGTAAAGCATACATAATAAAAATAAACCTAGATAATTATAAATTGTTTTTAATACATATAATGTTAATTAGATTTAGATTAACTAAATATTAAATATAATATTTACTAAATTACAGAATTTGGGGAATCATGAGTTCGACGACGGTATTGATAGTCTTGTTTCGTATCTAAACGGAATTCAAGATATACCAACAGTAGTTTCAAATTTAAATATGACATTAGAACCAGATTTGGATAAATTCATAACGAGGTCATTTGTATTTGAGAAAAATAATACAAAAGTGGGAATCGTTGGATACTTGACAACGGATACTCCGGTGAATAATGGTTCATTTACGAGCTAGTTTTAATTATTTTATTACTTTTAAGTATATATTTTGTATTCTATTCATCTTTATAATCTTATTGAATTACTAATATAATTAATCAAAAAAATATTAGTAAATTATAAGGCATGAAGTAAGTATATTGACTTATTGTACAGTCTATACATAAATAAATTAAAA